TTGCCATTATCTAGATGAAGTAAATATTGCATTTGGTTAAGAGGTATTCAATTATTCATATTGTTGAGCTTGTAAATTTACAACAGTCTACGATAAATATAAGGTTGTACCAATAATTATAGGTCACTGTAAAATTTAATTCAATGGTCGAGGTTACCATCATACAAAATCGGTAGCATAAGGTGATGAAATCAAATGCTATAAACAAGAATTTAGATATCAAATGTTTAGGCTCTTTAGAATTTGTGAAAATGTACTAAGGAAGAGATAACGCTACAAATATTAATTACGTTGCTAGATAGAGTAGCGATGATGTGCTGTTTTTAAGTGCTTTGTGTAGGAAAGCTAATTGGAAATAATCCTCAAAGCTGAAGTAAAATTAATTATGTTACTGTATAGGTACACAATATTGCAAACGATCATTTGCAATAAATCTCTTTTGCCCTATTACAGTCTTTTTTACAGAATTTAAGATATTATTTCGTTATTTTTTTATCTGATTCGTTAGTAATAATTATTCAAAATTCAGTACCAATAACATATATATCTACTTTACTTTTACATCGGTTAATTCTAGGAAATCTCAGATACTATTCATATTTGATGATAAATAGAAGGAGTCCCATTACAAATATTTAACATTTGCCAAGAAATCAATAGTTACATCAAGATTTAAATTTCCTAATGATGATATTACGTATTGTTGTATTCCATCGCCCTTAAGTTCATTAAAAAATACTATTAGATCAAAATTTTTAGGAATGATTTGAAATGAAAATATATCAAAGCTTAGTTTCACCAATAATCCTTTGACACTTTCTTATCAAATTAAAAAAAGTTAAAAAAACAAAGTCGTATTTAGCAGGATTTATTGGCGTTACAAAAATTATATAAAAAATAAATTCTTAAACTGTAAAATAAATTCAGAATTCAAAACATGTATGCCAAACAATCAAAAATATAAAAATTTAAAAGGCCAGCAAGCATGCATGATATTGATTACTTCCCATATCAAAAATCATTAACGCTCTAGCTATATTTATATCGTTCCTTCCGTAACGTAGCATAGTGGTAAAAATTTCTTTAATATTTAAAATTAAATAGGCCAATTGAAATGTAATTTTTAGATGTTCATTTCAGATCAATGATCTGGAATTCGATTTCTACATAATACGAACCACTTAAGTTGAAATAGAACGTACTTACAGTTTACTGTCTGGCTATGAGAGATTTAAAAGGCTGCACATGGTTTAAGCGTTCAACAATTATTACACCCATGTTCAAAAAATTTTCATTTCCTAATAGTCTAGCAATAAACACATTTAATGCAAAACTTATATTCAACTGATTCAATAAATTACTATATGCACAGTAATTTTCATATTATAAATTTTTATATAAGTTCAACAATATCAAAGACAAATCCTCAGCACTAGGTCTACAGGTAGGCCATGGCATAAAGGTTCTGTAATGTATTATATATTCAGCTTGTTGTATTTTTTATCAAGGGGAAATAAACAGATATAAAACAAGCTTAGAAATATTGAGCAGTTTTACATATATTCTACCATAATAATCTGTAAGTGAAGTAATTTAAACTTACTAGCCCAATTCTCTAATCATCCTTGATCTCAGTCATCTTAATACTTTATTCATTAGATCACGAGATTATTGACACACATTTACTATATTCTAAACAGTAATATTCTCCAAAATCTTGGCTTTATTTGCGTTTACTGTGCTTCAATTATTATTGTAGTAATTATTCGATACTGCTATTAAATTGCTAATATAATCTATAGAATTTTAGTACTTACCAACACAAAGGGATCTTTCTCGATTTTATTGCATTCTTAATTATTATGCTAAAGTTAAAGCCTGAGCCTAGCGCTACGGTGACAAGATTCTAAAGCTGAAACCCTATGGGTTATTTAAGGGAGCATAACGTGCTTTCCATGGCAGCATTAACCGATTGTTAAATTATGCATCTTAAATGCTATCGATGAAATCTGCAGCAGTTTGCTTTCATCATTTCTCGATTTTATGCATTCTTAACTAGTATGGTAAAGTTAAAAATAAAGCAGAAAACAATCTGAGTATGGATCATGTAGTCACATTAATCACCTATATTTGGTATTGAACTATAAATTCGGTAAGTGATATCAATTTAAGATTCCACTTAATTCAAATGTAACAATCCTGTTGAAGGTAGAGATGACATATTAGCCATATTTGATAGTTCTAAGCTGACTAAAATTATTTATTCACATCTCCTGCCAAATGTCATCTTCTCATCGTTACTTTCAATAAACGGCGCTACTCATAATTTAAGCTATTTATGGAAAAAGTAATATCAAAAGTTTACCTGAACTGGCCCTGAAAATTAACTTTTAATCTCGGTAGAGTGGCCTAACACTCATGGGACTGATGGTAGATGATGTTTCATTCTTATGATGTTACCGATAGAAATTTACTAAGTGAACATCTTAAAAGATGGTATCAATATCTAATCTTAATCTGCATAGATAAGAAGAATTTTAAAACAATCTCACATGCGAAAAATAAATGGTCGGCTCTTATGATGAAAAGAACATGCTTACATTTTTTTAGTTATAATATTACATAAAAAATACGTTGGCAGTACAGTAGGGGGGAATTTATCCTAACTTGGATCGGAAAAAGAGCCTATGGGGTAATTTGTGGCAATATTAAAGTTAAAATTACGACTTGATTATAACCATTTCGTGCATACAATTAAGCAATTGCAGACAAATTCTGCACATTTAAGATTAATTATTATATTATTAAAGATTATTAGTAGTATCAGTTCGTAATTTTATCAAGCTAACGGTCTCTCTACGGATGATTACGAATGTCATTTGGTAAGTTTTTACTCGGGCCGCTCTACTAGTTATTAATTTTGACCTCATACAACGAAAAGACTGCTTTCAGCCAATTTTTCATACCCATTTTCCTGACTAAATTTGCCATCTTTTCTAGCTGCTTGGCATTTAATGACTAAATATAGACCATGGCTATAGCCGAATACTTTTAATTATCTAATTGGATTGTTAGTTGCTATTCTAGACTGTCGTTATGCGATATACCATAAATAGCTCTTGATTGTGGCAAAGAACGTGCCATTGACCTAATAAGTAATATATTTTTGTTGGCGACGGCTTCTGTACAATCGTAAGACAAGTTAGGCGTTAGCTAGGGCCTACCTTTGATGATAACTTGTGCCACTTTTTGCTTAGTAAATATGCCATTAAAGCATGTATTCTGTAATGACTAATCGTCAGATTTGAAAGATTTCACTGGCAGAGTGAAGATCTTGATTCACAAATTCCAAATTGCAAGATAGAGGTAAGTAAATATTAAATTAATTAAAAAGCGACATTCTTCCATCGAATATAGGGTAATTAATTTAAATTTCCGTTGTTTTCACCTTGTGCAACGGATTTGGTGTCAATTTTGTGAAGATTTTTGTACTAGTATCGTATCATGAATAAATATACTGCTACAGCAGTCGTAGAAGTTCATTCAAAATAGAATTAACAAAGGCTATCAATATCTCACATTGTTTTTATTGCTGATCATGAAGTTATTGAAATGATGGATAGAGAACAGATTAGGAGATGGACGATTGATTTATGAGAGAAAATCAGCACTATCGTCATGTCATCCATTTAAGGCTGCAGAGGATACTTACTTTCTCTTGTTACACTTAAAGATTTCCGTCTGCAGTCGATTAAAAAGAGTCCGTTACTAGATAGTTTCAAAAATCTAAGTATTATAACAGTGCCTTAAAAACTATAGTGCTTTAATCTTTGTTTTATCTTTGAGACTTCTTCTTACTTAAATTTGAGAAGAATTTGAAAGGGAACTATGCGTAACACTGAAACAGATATCGAAGGATACGTGTACGACTATTTCGTAAAATGTTTCATTTCCTTCAATACTCTAACAAAAAGAATTCTTAATTCTGCTGTTGGAGTGTAAAATAAATGCTGTGCTACTGTATAATTTATATCATAAATAGAATGTAGCCACTTAGTCTACCTATTCATGACAACTGTTCTTCATCCAGAACAGTATCATCATGGAATAATTAGACGCGAAAAGGATATAATTAATTTATTAAAATTGAACGTTAATTATCATTACTGTTGGCCTAGACTCTTAAAACCTTTATCATTTCTATACTGCTTTACTTAATATTACTAACCTTACTTTCATGGGGATCACGTATATAGAGAACTATCAATAGCCGTGATTTTCATCCGAAATTTTATCATTTCAACGTAGCTTATCAGCAGTGCTATGATATATTATAAAATCAGAAGAGTTTAACTAACTATGCAAATCCTACCTCAGTTAAACAAGACGATCTCTCGTTACGGTTTTAATAGGCATATACTAATGACATCCTAATTTATGCAAGTTACGCAAATTGACTTAATTAATATTATGATTTATAGCCTTAAATGTCAACTTTCTGCTTTTAAATTGCAATTTTAACTGTAGTAGATAGCAGCCATATTGCTATCCGTATTGCTGCACCTAGGGAGACTTACTGTAAAATTCCAACTTTGTTTATAGTCGTAGGCTCATTGATATACAGTATCATAAAACTATCTCCCCTAGGATTATAATCTTCAAGAGTCGTATCCAAGCCTTGAATTCAGTATTTTATTACAATTTAAACGCTTTATTATATATTTTTTATTGCAGTACTTGCAATTGCATGTATGCAAATCATTGCACCAATTGATTAGATCGAATGCAATTACTGCTGCAATTCGTACACTGCCATTTTATCACGACTAGGATTTGATTCATTACCGAATTTGTTCCTGATAACAAATAGTAACTTTTCTGCTACTTTTAAATTTACATTTTATCCATGTATTGCTTCTGGTGTTGTAAAGAGCTAAAACAATTTGGTTTTGTCGTAGGCACCTTCTAAATTGCGCCTTTCTACTAATAAAATGAATATTATGATTCCACAAATGGCTGGAAAAGTGAAAATCGATAAATGGTGTTATACGGAAATGAAAGTAGATCGCTATACTTACGTATGGAAAATAGAAAACTTTACTTACTGTCCGCTAAAGACGGGAGAATTCTTAAAAAGTTCAACTTTTGTAACTGCTAGCTCTGATAAGCTACAATGGTAAGGAAAATAATTAGACTATCAAAATCAACCTCTAATTCATGTATGATAATTTCTGCCAACTACACTAGCAATATGTTAAAAGTGAATATCGTTAATAGTTTTTACTTGTCATGGCTGCTGCCTATTGCTTTGTAGGTGTATGAAAATTAACCCAAGAGGACTGGATGAAGATTGTAAAGAATACTTATCGATTTACTTGGTATTGCTTAGTTGCAATAAGAAGGAGGTCAACGCTAAATTTAAATTTTCCATCTTGGATTCTAATGAAATGGAAAAACGATTGATGGGTAAGCTATTCCTCCTCGAACAGAATCAGCAAAAGACAAGTCTGTTTGGGGCAATGTCTCAATGCCATACAATTACTGTGAACGATAAAACTCAAATATGTGAAGAATTTTTATCATAATTCCATAGGCATACGTGGGCGATACAAAGATTTTAGTGGGTACAAATTTTAATTTTTTGTCTCAAATCCAGCAGCAATTTATTAAATCTATCATCAATTTTACATTCTTGTCGAGTTCCAGATTAATATCAGCAGTTTTCGGTTTTAGCTAGCTGGGCGAATAGTTATTACGAGCAAGATACGGCCGTTTTAGATATATTTATAATCTTAGATTTTGCTGAAAGCGTTTTAATCTTTACAACTTCGGAATAAGTTATTGCCTATAGTGTTTCCATAGCCGTTAAATCACATTGACCAGTATTAGTTGCTAGTGGGAAATGAATGTTGCAATTATATTTTTCTAGCAACCAAAAATGAACTATTATTAAATTACGGTATGAAACTATCATCTATGGCCTAAAACTTGTCTTATGAAACTTCCAATAGAAAGTCAACGTGCCTACAGTTTTATTCAAGGCAAAGATTGGGGATTTAAGAAATTTGTGCGCCGCGATATGCTGATGGATAAAACGAGTGGATTTTTAACAGATAACCGTCTAACACTCTGCTGTGAGGTATGTTGCTAGTAGGATATTGATATTTAAACATAGTAGGCCTTTAATCTTGATTTATATCATCGTGAAGATAGCTCAGATGATTTAATCCTAATTTTTCTTTCTAGATCAATATTGTCTCAGATCCGATCACTCATGATGGTCGATTTACGGCGCAAGAAACAAATGTACCTACTTGTACACTGTCTCAAGATATGGATCAGTTGTTTAAAACCAAAAAGTTTGCCGACGTCACTTTTAACATCGGGAAGGATCACTTAAAGGCTCATAAAGCGATCTTATCAGGTAAAATACCCAACCTTTGACCGAGATGTCGCCATAAATTTACAGCATTATCATCTCGCTATTTACGTAGTTAATTGAGAGTAGTATAATCTGAAAATTTAAATCTTTTAGCTAAATACTATAGAGAACATAGTTAGGCATAGAATTTATAAATATATGCGAATCATCTTTTTTGAGATTTACTCATTATTTCCAACATGATTGGTGGTAATAATATGAAAAAATGATCTGTTCAATGGCTTATCATTTACAATAGCTAGATCGGCAGTATTTGATGCCATGTTTAAACATTCCATGGAGGAGCAGCATCAGGCACGTTGTAATGGTGATGACTAACATTTAGTCATTTTATATAGCAAGAGAGAAGCCTAAAATATAACAATAATGAATTTTTGTAATTTAAAATTATTAACTCAGGGGATAGTAGATATTCCAGATATAGCAGCTGATGTATTTGAAGAAATGATCAAATATATTTACACTGGTAAAGAGCCATCTCGCATGGACGATTTGGCCTTGGAAATGCTAGCAGCAGCAGATAAAGTAATCATTATAGCTATAAAATGCAGCATGTTCAAAATTATTCGTATTTATAAACAATTTTTATATTGTTTTTGGTGACTACTTTAAAGTATGACCTACAAAGGCTGAAATCACTATGTGAAAACTCTATTTCAAATAATTTAATTGTTGATAATGCTGCCGAAGTACTGGTCATTGCTGACATGCATAATGCAGAAATACTGAAGAAAAATATATTAAAATTTATTAATAGGTAATTTACCTCTTAATTTCTTCTCAATTTCAATTTATAATAAAAAATCATGATAGCTTAGAGTATTATTTTTCTATTCTAATGTAGCTACGCCTTGGAAATAGTCGAGACTGAAGGTTACAAAAATCTGCTTAAGAATCATTCTCATTTAATCACGGATGCTTTCCGAACTCTAGCGAGATCTACTGATAGTAATATCAATTCAGTTTCACGTAAAAAAAGGCGTATTTAAAATTGTATCTGAAGTCCTAACTATTTATAAAATGAATTATGAAACTAATGATCGAAGCTAACTTGAAACCAATATATAATGTGTTTTTTCATTCTTTATATGAATAAATTAGTCTTTGATAGAGGTAACTACCGTAAAACCTAATAACTGTAAAAGAAATAGACGGCATAAATACTATTTTGTTAACGGCAATTTACAATGATTTGTGCTTTGGAATCTTGTGGAAAATTATATATTGAAAGAGTTATAACCTAACAAAAAGGGAAACAATTTTACAAAATTCAAGCGTTTGTCAATAAAAGTGATAAATTATCAGAACAATTATACATATCGTTGTAGTACTCGTACGCTTATGGTTAGAGACTGAGAGACAGTAATAACTCATAATTTTTGCTAGCAAAAATAGCTTAAAAAAATTCTGTATCACAAACCAAAGTATCCGGGATAATCCTTTGATTTGAGTAGAAATTAGAATGCAACCAACCTAATATTAGATCTGTTATAATGGATTGTTAAACTATATATTGTGCCTTCACAGTGACAAACGCACTATAATTTTTTTTAAACTCGTCCATTTTCACTTACATTGAATACAAGTTTGACCTTTTTATGCTTTAAATAACTGTTTTTTGCGTATACATATTAGCAGTGTACCTCATCAGTTAACGATAACCCTTCGCAATCTAGCATGAAAGAATTAAATCCAGCACACGAAGCAAACAAACGTTAAGGCAATATACCCACAATTTTATACTCCGCTCGGAATGCTTCTAAAATGGTCATACTCCGATTGAAATTTAAACTACCTTAACAGCTTGTGTACTTAGGAGGAAGCAATCTATTTTCTACTAAAACTCGTTGTGATACTGTCAGGAAGTGATTTTCATCTACTCATGGTTATCTTATTTTGGCTAAATAACAGCCTTTGTTATTTGTTGATTACATCGTTATCAATGACTTTTTTCGTACTTTTATAGATAACTTCCTAGTTTTAACAGTATTATCTATGACCGATAATTGAATATAATTCATGATTATGTATAGATTTACTATAAATATGCAGTTTTTTTAACCAAGAAGAACAACCGGAGATCATCAGTATTTAGGGTCGTACTGTATGTGGTCAGAGAGGACTAACTGGACAGTAGGCTCGTAGACATGATGCTTGTTGGTTATATTTGCAAACTTTTTCGCGTAACAATTCTCGAATGTAACTGACAAATAGTAAGAGAATAGCCTAGTATTACAACGCTATGTTCGTCACTTAATGCGAGAAGTATTGAATTGAAAACAATATATCAGTTTTGATAGCTATATTGACAGCAGGTCATATGCAGAGTACTTATTATTACAGATTCGGTAGTTTATTGATTTTTCCATTAGCATAAATGATAAAAAGACAATTTGAAGTACTAAATCTTGCGAATAACGATACGAAATTGACCTCAACGGATGCTCGTCATTAGTAACTAGCATGTCAAAATCGAAGCCGCTGATTGCGGCTTCGCTGATTCAATCTGTAAACACTTTTTTTCTACCGTAGAGTAGCAGTAAGCCATTTACCCTATTAACCGCTATCAGTCCTCAGTAAATCAAATCCATAGTCCAAGAATACTTAAACGCATATATTTATATCGATAGGAAGATTGTGTATATCAAAGGTATGCATTACTAGATATCGAAATAATTCAGCCTGTACGATAAATTTGAATTTCATCTGAAGAATACCCGAAATGATATCGCATGATGTAGAAATTAAAAATTAGATTAACAATATAGATACACTAAGCATCAGATGATTATTATTAGAATAGAGGCCTAAACAATTAGATAATTAAGCTTCAGGATATTATAATTCGTTTTTGTATAGAATAATACTCATCAATTATGCCTAAAAAATATGAAGGTTTAGCTTGCAAATTCAATAGGAAGAAATAAACGTCTTCGAATAGAGTCGAAATAAGTTTAATAATTAATGATTCCGGCATTAGTTCTACTTTTAAGTACTGATAGCTTAGACTACCATACAAATGGGTTCATGTTAACATAACTTACCGGAAGATACCTAGTACGATAGAGGCATACTATATAGAACAGCTGTAGGCGTAATGACTTTTATGCTAGTTAATCATGCATTCAATGATGACCGAATTTATTTGTAAACATTTACAAAATGATTGCTAATTACAATTAGTAACATATTAGAAAAACACAATATTAAAAGTAGTATCTAGCCAATCGTCTTACTTGCCTGTTGTATTTTAAAATCGTGACGGAGGAGTCCATCAAATTGCTTCCGACCAGAGCCATGTTGTTTAGTAAACATGCCTAAAGAAAATAATTGTATTGTCCTGTAGCATAATACTCCCCCCCCCCCAGAAGGTCATTAAATTAAATTATATCTACAACTTAGCAAAAATAGTATAAACATATATTACGGCAATATATAACCGTAGTCATGGATCAATGGAAAAGCTAATTGAAGCTTGAGCGAAATTGATTTTCATTTTTCTAATAAGTATAAAACTACAGCAATAGGTAGAAAAGTAACGCAAACTGTACACTTAACCTCATTTTGTGCACACTGTATTGCAAAGACAGGCAAGCACGTAAAATTTGTTAATATACACCAGTTTAGCGCCTTATCACCATTTCATTCGACTGTCTACAATCAAGCAGGTAAGTCTTATTTTACCTTTACCATCGAAAGCTTTAATGCAAGCACGATCTTTACTATTGACCTATATGATACAGTCAAACATATTCTTATTGTTACCAATATAGTAGCATTTGCTACAATTTACTACACTCATGTGGCCATTATGTGAGATTTAATGAATTGAAAGAGCTATCTGGCTTAGGCTCATATGGAAATTTACCAGTAGCATAACGATTCTAGCTAAGAAAATGAATGTTGGATTTAAATCTTCGATAATTGTTTCTTCTATAAATCTGTTCTTGATGGAAATTAAGAGAGTAAATGATAGACGCGAGTATTTTGTGATGTACCTATAATAACATGATTAAGTGATGCACCTATATGAAATTATGAGATATAGGAAACAATTTAATAATGTTAAAGTTCCGTTAGTGAACATTATGGTCTTGCTGCAGTATAATTTTTACCATTAATTTTAGATTCTTACGTACCTTTTGCATTAACAAATTTTTCTGGTACGCCAAAGTCATTAGCAGGCAAGTAGAAGATGGCAATAACTAATGAAAACATCAAACATCTCTGCATTGAAGATTGGGGGATCCATACGTAATATTAATCGATACAATATATATTGAATTATAATTATGCAAGTTTATTTACGTGTAGCAAAGCAAGCTTGCGGCTTATCTAAATTCTATACAAAAACTTTTTAATTCAATAAATGACTGTCTTTAGATGTTCCATGGAAGAAAACAGAATCGAAAACAGATGGATAGCAACGAAGCGAATGGATAGGAAAGTTCCTAATAAGCATATATCTCTTTCTAATCCACAATCTGGAAATTTAAGAATAATTAATATTGCCAATAACCAGAAACAGAATTGTAAACTCGAGGTAAGAAATGAGCAGTATATACTTTACATTATTGCTACCGTAAAACAATTCAAGAAGGCATGTAACATTCAATAGATCATGGACTATCAAACGCTACACATTATCCATCAATTGTCTCCTCCATTCCAATGGGTTCGAAATGTAAAAATCTCAGCAGATGGTGGCCTTGTAGCCGTAGAATACTATACCAATTATCCGGCATCTTTCCGAGCAGTATGTGCTTTTCTTTTTTGTCATTTTTGTGATATTGCAAATATAGCAAAGCCTTTCACAAGCGAAGTTAAATTTCATTTACGTAAATAAAGATGAGATAATTTGCACTATTTTCAATAAATCATCAAAAGTGAACCGGACATTAATTAGTTATTGACGCATTACTCCATTACATCCTATAGGTAATCATATTCTATACATGAAATTTACTTGTAGTTGAAAATAATTCGTCGATTCATAGAATTAGAAATAAAAATTAGTTAAAATCTGTTCTTAATTCTGCAGTAGTAAATCTATACCACTCGAGATAGATCTTTCCCATATGCTGTATATACATGAAGTTGTAATACCCAGTATTTCTTCAATCTATAGAACAAAAGATGGATGATTTATAACCTTAATTTTAAGAAAGAATTATATTTTGTGGACAAAAGAAAAAAAAGAATGAATCATGTAACTTTTAAAAGCATGGAATTCTGTCCTAATGTCTTAAATAGCTGTAACTTTATTAGCCTATGCTATATAAACAAAGACATTAAGGTAGGCATTAAATGACTTAATTTTTAATAGCACTTTAAGTTATAGTAGTAGTTTTACTTTGACTAATTCTATGATATTGGAAAAATAGCTTTGGAAAATTCAAGATAATCATATACAATGTACTGGCAAGGAGATATCCTTTGCATTTAAAGTAGAGTCCTATCGCTGGATGCAAAACGGAAGTAAAATACTATTATGGGGAAGAAAATACTATGTAGATTGTATGGGTAGACCAGAAAAATTAAATACTATTCTTGAATGCCAAATACAGGTAAGCGGCCATATTCAAGCTCCGATATAAACCTATTTTATGTTCTACTCTGCAGCTTTATTTTCTTTTATGACTATAATACCTTAAGATTTGGAATTTTGAAACTTGGCATAGATTGCGTTCCATGGAAGTTCCTAGCTACATCGTTAGACAACAACAGAACTTGTTTAAACCTTCCGGATATGTTAATAACGCCGGTGCATTGCATAATGTCAATTATATCGATAACGATTGTACAGTCTTAATTCTCGGATATAGCAAAATTATTGGTCTGATCAAAGTACCAGATAATGGTGTCGAGACTGTAAATTTAATCGAAGATTTTATGAACAGCTTTCAGCCAATTTTTAAAAAATCCATGCCAGTTAACGATATTTCTATATCTGATGATCAGCAGTTTATTACTATCGATATTGATGATCGCAATGATGCTAAAGTAAGTTAATTAATTTTTGACATTTTACATCGATACGCTAACATCATCTTTTGATTAAAATGACTTATTTTTATTTTTATTTTATTTTTAGCATTATTTATTTATTTTATTTGCTCAAATGGCTAATTTGCGTGATGATATCTATACCTATTATAGGCATCGAAACTTGTAATCAGGATGTTATCAGGACAGCCCCAGTCTTATTTAATGTTAAAGCCTTCAAATGGAAACAAACTTACAAAATACATTCCTGACAGTAGCCGCTTAATTATTTATGATTATGATCTTGAATATTGTATATATGAGTATAATTTAAAAGGTAACACTTTTTAATGTTTCTTAAAAGCATGCACTGTTTTTACTTCGATTATTAATTGCTTATCTCGGCTGTATATCTGCATTATTAGCTAATAATCTACGTTGGCAAACCATAAAAAATAAGGAAATAATTTATTTTAATGAAAAGAGAGAGATAATTCAGGAATTCGACGAAGAAATCTTAAGTACATGTTGTGCATTCATAAATCATGATCCATTGATGATTCAGTTAATTCAAAAAGACGGCAAGAGTGAATTAAAAGTGAGCTAATGAGTTTATGTAACTGATGGCAGGATCCGTAGAATGTCAATCTAATATAGAGATTATTGGTATTTGCAGGTTTACAATTATAAGGAGGACCAGCAATCAACAAAAGTATTTTGTTACTCTTTAGACGAGCCTTATGATCGATGCTTTACTTATAATAACCTACAGTCTGCTGTGGTTATCCGCACCTATTTAGAAGATTGCAAGCGTTCATTGAAGTACAAGAATGTTTCTATCGCAGAAGTAAGCCTGATTGAACTCTTATGGAAATGAATGCTAACTGGCTTACAATAAACAGTTCAATAAATCCTCTCGATATGATATAAAGATAAGATCTACAGATGCTAATGAAAATATGTGAAATTTCTTGTACCTTATTATCTAATTTATGATAATTAATCCTGATTGAAGTATAATTCATTGCAAAACAAATTTATATCTAGTAATAAATTATCAATACAAGATCAATTTACTATGAAGTTTTCATGAATTATTTTACCTGTATATTTATCACTTAATAACAGAAGCCTAACCTTCTGAATATGAGAGACAGCGAAAAGTGCAAAGAACTACTAAGATATGATACAGAACCAGAAGTTACTTGTGTAACTGTTACCGGATCGAAATACCGAGAAAAAGACAACACTTTAATTTTTGTCATGAATGTTAAGGTAGGGAAAATTTTATCTCTTTAGAAGACTGCAATCAAATCTTAGCTCTAAACAAGTCTCATTTAGGCATATTTTATTTCAAATATAAAATTATCATCTATTCAGCACTCTGTTAGTTGTGGCATCCTGGTAGCAGCTATTAACCTATGTGATGGTGCAAAGACGATCTATGAAGACAAATATGCATACTCACAAATTAGACCTATCTACTTTGATGACAATTATCTTATTACCAATCAACAGAAAGTAAACTCGAATGATTACTGCATTATGGTAATAAAGCAATGTATATTCTTACATTTCCTTTAATTAAGTTAGAAATACAACCAATACTCATTTTAAAAGTTTGAGGTTAAACTGTTCTGTTATCTGATTTTTAATTTTATTTCTAATGCCTGATGTATTTCAATGAAGACAATTCGCTTCAACTATCTTGAAATTTAACTTGCTTAAACAGCTTGTTTGGATTTAAGTCTTATAAACTAGGAAATAGCAAAGCACAAATACTGAACAAAGAAGAATTTAATTATCATAGGGATAGAGGATTAGCATGTAAAGTAAATCTACCTGGAAAATACTGCATTGATTCTCTTAAGATTAAATGCTCGTCATTGAAAATCAAAGAAGATTTAGTACACGAAATATGGAAAGATGAGGATGCAAAAATATTTCTTGTAAGTTACAGTTTTCTCATACAACACCAATCTTTTAATGAAAGTTTTTAAATATTTAATTCAAATGCTGACAATGTAGAAATTCTAATGACATTTTGTCTACTCTTGAATGCTGCATTAAAGACCAACTCTTCTAGTCCGTATTCTTTCTGCATCTTCATATTCGAAATAGGAGATCACGTAACGGTAAAAATAATACACTATTAACCAATTACATTAAATAGCTCAAAAGACTGTTTAAACTGTTATAAATTATTCATTTAATGCGATGCTAGGTATTTGATCAGAATTATAGAATTTTAAGGAAAAGCTGCAAGAATCGTGCCATAAATCTTGAATTTGATTCTCGGATTTTAAACTTTGAGGAACTGTCATCGGAAAATTTATTTCTTACGTTTAATATTAATAACTCTAACATTTATATTTATGAATTGAATACCCTTCAATTGATTCACAAAATATCATTTCCTTACTTTATTGTGCAACATACAAAATGGAATCCTCAGCAGTCCTCATTTATTCTTTCTGATGGTGAACAGCGATATAATATATTTAAAAAAATTAAGCAAGATTAAAATTTGACCTATTATTTGCTTCTTATATAATTAAAATTTATCAGAATTATAGTTAGAGGGATTTCTTGATAATGGTATTTGATTGTCTTGATGATTCCGTACTTTACTACAGATAAGATTTTATTCATAGTAAATCAAGCTACTTTGTAATATAAAGTTGTCATTGTGCGTCATTTATCATCTATAGGCATTAAACTATTTGGAACGAATGATAAATAGTCTGCATACGTATTGAAGTTACATTGATGATTTGATAGTTCTGGTAGACTGTTTTTTATCAATTTTCGAGACTTAGCTCATGTTCTCCTTTGCATACAGCATACTGTCACCCTGACCTTAATAAATATTACACTTCAGTCTCGATATATATGAACGAAGACATTTTGCAAAATGACCGATTTCGCATCCGGTCTAGTTCGTATACATCAGCATAACTTCTTAAAATAATGGAAATAATGGTAAAATTGAAATATTATGATATTTATGTCCGATAGGGTGATGTTAGCAGATATTATTATTCAGTCTCGATATGTGCGCTTGCATAAAAGAAGTATCGGACGTTTTCTGAAACTATGGAAATAATAATAAATATTCGGATTGTAATGCTCTCTTCTAAAATACTGTCCTTCTTCTTTTTACATAATAAATAACCTTCCTTGGAAATCCAGTATAGTAGTGTTTATTACATACAGTAAATAGGGTTGCGAAGTATTAGATAAAATGGAAATAGACAACCAGTAACAGATCACTGCTTCTATATCTGTTTCCTTTTCTTAATCTTCTATCTCATATATCTACGTTATTTATATCGATTTCAAAATAACAACTCATAAACTCTCATAATCCAGTAAATGTTTCTCTTCATACTAGTCATCTAAAATTGAGCTAAGATTTCTATACATATTAATTATGAAATTTCCCGTACTAGCTCATCTAATTTCTTAGAAATAGTTGCTACATGACGATGTCATTGCAAGATAGCCATCATTAGCCTATCATAACTAAATGTTAGTCAGGCATTAAAATAATCTATCATCAGTTCATTAATACATTCACACTCGCACATAATTTCCATTATCACCTAATAATAGTGAGTCTCATATTCATTTGCCACGTCTAGTTAGAAATAATTTAATAAAATTATTGAATTCATCACAGATATGAAGTGACCAGACTACAGAGATGTAATATGATATTGATATATCATCATAATATAATAATCAGTCTTAACATACATCAAAATTTGATCAACTAGTTTTAATTATTTTTATAGATCTCAAGATTTTCTTAAACATCGTAATTTATGGAATCAGCAGAATAAAGTACAAACTTAGATAGAATGCGGTGAATTTCAGATATAAATAGAAATGATACCGATCGATAATGCGAATTTTTCTGACACAGTACATAATTTATTTACTTTCTTTATTATCTTATTGCTGGTAGGTTGTATTGTTAAGCTATAAATATGCAGTCAGAGTTTACTTACTAAATCTGATCACAAATACAATTCTGTCAATATACGCTAAGAATCATCTACGATTAAGATCAAGTGCGGTGTATCATAAGCAATTAACTTTTAATATTGTCATCGAGCCCATTCTAATTGTATATTGCCTTATATAAATCGACTAAACATTAATGTAGCAACACCATAAAGTAACTCTCATTTCCAGCCAGAAATAGAGTAGAGCATCGTACTTAATGAATACAAAAAATCTAACGAAAGATAGCGCGTGCGGATAATTTTAGTGGCTAAATCTACAGTAATGGCTTCTAAGCGCAATATCACTAAGCTCTTTTTAGAGCTTGGTTTTTACTCCCTATAATACCACGACTTCTATATTAGTCAATTCACGCTCGATTGGCTTTTCACACACATAAAATAAGTACAATCTGCAGCACGATTTCTCATCGCTGATACCTTTATGGTCCATAGTACAACCCTATTTGTGCAAAGCTTTTGGTGGATGAATCTATAATATAGATATGTAAGTTAGACCGTAACAGCAATATCTTTGTACATCTTTAAGAAAATCTTTACTTTACTCCGCTATCATAACAACTCGCAGTGCTATCCATTCATGCTGTTTTAGTTAACCACACATGTACAATGAAGTCTATTGCAAATTTCTTATAATGATACTTTTGTGACCCATAGTAGAAATTCTATTTATTGCCGAATTAAGCGAAAGATAAAGCATACGGGTGATTTTGGTGATTGGATCTACAGTATTGACCTCAAACAGCAATATCGATGAGTCGTTAAAGTTTTTACTTTACTTCCTTATTACATCATAATTTCGCAATTGTCGTTAATATTGCGACTCCTATTGTAATCCACTCATGCTTGCTCAGTTTTTCATGTAAATACAAATACAGTTTACAGCCAGATTCCTGACCACTGATGCCTTTACGACCTATAATTGCAATATGCCGGAGTCTTAACTAGTCTTTTCTTTACTCTCGTATAATATCACGACTCCTGTAGTAATCCATTCGTACTTGATCAGTTTTTCACTCTTAATACAATCAACAGCAAGATTTCTCATCACTGATGCCTCTATAGTCTATAACTGCAATATCCGTGAGTCTTTTAAACCCTATTTTATAGCTCTGTAATATCATGGCTTCTAGATCAATTCATTCATGCATGATTAGTTTTTCACACAATACAGTTTGAAGCAAATATTCTTTCATCACGGATGTCTTTACGATCTATAAGTGCACTATGGACGAGTTTTTAAACAGTCTTCACTATCCTATAAAATTGTTACCGTCATTCTTAAAAATCTGTCATTTTACAAAATGCCTAGTGATTTTTTAAAATGGCGGATTTTTAAATAAATGCGGTAACAACATCATAATGCTTATAGTAATCCATTCATGCTTGATCAGCTTTTCACCCACATACAATACAGTTTATAGCAAGATTTCTCGTCAATGGTGCCTTGATAAACTACTGTATATAGCAGAAATTTTATTTACTGCTATATTAAAATAAACTAATGGATGCCGTTAGATAATGCCCTTTGTTATTACTTATCTATTATGCCCTTGCATTCAAGACGTTATGACGTAATCGACGAAATCAACGAAAGTAATTCAAGATGATAGATAACACTGAGCGTTATGCCTCATAATAATCAATATTGAAAACGCCCAGTATTGTCTCGCGGATGATTGCAGGCTCGTTTCTACACCACTAGTCAAGGTTATGAATAGACTTAAATCACTTGGAAAATTGCTGACGCCCAAGCATATAAACTGGCTTGCCTGGCAGTCAATTAATAATAGTCGCCGTTGTGAAGATAGGACTCAAAGTTCATCGATTACGGGAGCATTATTTTCATTCAAGGTAACTGTAAATAGTTTTGCCATTTTTCCAGAAATGATAAATAGAAATTAATCGTTGCGATAGGAGAAGGTAAAGCTAAGCTTTACTTATAGTCTGATTATCTTCTGTCATAGCGATTGATACAGCCAAGGAAAAGGAGTTGAAAATTATGAAAAGTAGTGGCTTAATCAAGCATTTTCTATGCTTTGCTATACTGGTAAGTCGAACCGACAGGTAGATGTTATTTATCGCTTAATTGATCTTTTCCATGCTCGAGGTTATAAGATTGATGAGCAATTGCTACCGTCGGTATAAATTAGAAAAGTAAAATGGTTTGTCGCACTTAGCTGGGATACTAATGTTGTCAACCATTAAATTGATTATGATCATCTTTATTGGCCATGGTAATGAAGCTAATCTTTCTTGCTTTTATATTTTAGTCTGCCTTAATCTATGATGTCAAATCTGGTAAGTATGTAGTTAAACGAGTAGGTAATATTGTTTAAAGTACGATTCAAATGGATTTTTGCAACAAATTATGACTGATTATTTTTTCTTGAAGAGAATACAACGTAATTTAGTTGATTTATGGAAAAGACAAGAGCAAAATTTGTACTTTTAGCTATAAATATCACTTAATGATAGTTAAAGTTTAAGAATTGATGTGCAATTACAATTTAGCTACAACAATAACCATCCATAATCATTAATAAATGGAGGAGACCTTTACTCATTGAATATCAGCTTCTAAATCTTTTTAAAACCATGCCCTTTTTAACGAAAATAGCTGCAATCAGTTTATAGTCTGTTCTGTATCATAGTAAGAGTTTTCAATAGAAGCGAATAGGATTCCGCTAGTTGTAAATTATTTTTTTGAATCTATTCATTACTGAAAAATGTTTCACCAAAACGAATTTACAATTTGAATAACTTCCCGCCAAACATTTTATGATTATTAGCCTCTTGCCCAGCAAATGAATGCTGTAATGGCAACAACGTGACCTCGCAGTCAGGCATTAAGAGTTGCTCTTGCGATCCGAATTACACGGGCCAATACTGCGATAAAAGTAAGTCCATCAAATAGATACCGACTTATTAGACTACTGGGCACAATAAAAGGTAGTCTATCATTTCATTAAGAATAACTGTATGTCAATAATTGTGATATGAACTATTGGTAGGACTAGAAATTGCTCCAGTCATTCAAGTATTTGGTGCAAATGGTTTGCAAGGAAGTAACATTGCTATAAATTGTTTCCTTATAACTACGAATAATGGAATGGGCGATGTTTCAACAACAGTCAATTTTACTTGGGTAATTGACGATAAAACTGTATCAGGTAATAGAATGAGTTTATACGTAAAACTGGGGAAAATCTTCAGGTTTAATAGAGTATTTTCACATATAGCGACAACTAATAGCGAGCATTTTTACATGATAATAGCAAATTCTTCGTTGTCCATTGTGAATGCGCCAACATCTTCAGAACTTAAACTTTTAAGTATCGCATATCCAAGTCCGTATCAGATAGCTAAATGTATAGCAGCTAACAAAATCGGTTCTACATCTGCTCAAATTAATATTACAGTCATTGCTCAAGGTCAGTAGAATTTAATAAACTTTATGTTTGAAAATAACAAGTACTCTGATATCAAAATCAAAGTATCCTAATCAAATAGATATTCTAGGCAAATTTTTAGCTTTGATTTATGATTTGTAATCATATATAGTCTGGAAAGTCGTATGTCTCATCCGGAGTATTTATATCTTGTACTAGAGTAAATTTCTCTTCATTTATAACACTAAAAATGTCTACTTCTCTACTTATCTCTACCACAATTGCAAGCATGCGAGCTGCAAACTTACATCATACTTTATAACGTATTAATCTACAATTACTTATAATTCTGAAAAAGATTCTTATTATAGCCTATAAAATTTTTCTGCATGTCAGAGTAGTCATTAAATAATAGTGCATGATAAGCCAATCGATAATTTGTTTCAATATCCAACCTTTGGTGATATTAAATATTGTATTACCCTAATAGGTTCTTCCATTTGTCAAAGCGACAATTATAAGGATGTAGTATGGCAAATCTCTCGTCCAACCTCTACAACTTCACAAAAGTGCCCGTATCAAGCAATCGGTATGTTATGCTGGCCCTAATGTCAGACAATTAAATGTATTTGTAAGCTATTTCTTAAAAGGATTGAAATTGTAATCCTTTAATCTCACATAACAGATCACTTTTTTATGTTGACAAGGTACCGCTACACGTCGCTGTATTTATTTCGGTAATAATTCACATGGATGGGAGGAACCTAATTTTTTAAACTGTATTAGAGGACAGCTTATGCTCCTAAACTCCTGGATTAAGGTACTGTATAGCACCTTTGTTTTGGTTTAAAATGGATAACTATGTCAGTAGCATTCATTCATTTTCTTCAACGTATAATGTGAAAACTACTATATAGTCATTCTTTTACATGAATATATTTTCAGGAAGCTGTAGCTAGTAAATAATTAATAGATCATTACATTGGCAATTTTATAGTACTCTCTCAAATTTATGCTATAACTTTGATATTAATCATGATAACGTTTATTATTCCTACGATATTAATCTTTCTAGCATTACGATGTTTAGGACTTTTATTCGAAGATATTTATGTCACACGAGATAAATTTTATTTTATTTTTAAACTAGAATTCATCCAGTTCAATTCGAGCAAGCGCAATAAATCAAATTATTAATAGTCTAGGGCCAGCACTAACCTATACAAAGGCGATGCCCTTATTAACTGGAGATTTAAATACAGCAACCAATATTATACAGGGGCTATCGTCTCTAGCGACAAATTACAGTGCAACCCAATCAATGGTAAGTTTATTAAAAAATACATTAAATGTGTAGCTTTAGAAATTCTGTTATACGATATAACATTCAAATTTTGTCTAGTCCATAGCTACAGCTGTTCAAAATATCATAAACGCTGACAATGCTAATGGATGGAGCTATATCACTAAGCAAGCAGTAAGTCGCTAGAGATGCTGTCTATCCTTGCCATTTTGAGTGAATCGAATCTATGAGCGAAACGCAATAACGTTATTAAGCTATAAATAACTACGCAACAATAGCTAAAGAAATAAATAAGAAATTTCTAATGTAATGTTCATTTTTAATTTTGCAGAATAGCGCAAGGCTCGCCACCTTAATTCAGAGTTTAAACGATATTGGACTTAAAACTAACTTTTCTGGCCAATCTTTAGCCATAAATAAGAATACCTATCGTAAGAACACGGATAAAAATACAACAAATACTATTTTATGTACTTCATGGAATCAATATTTTAGTGCTTTATATAGCCGTATGTATGCCTAATTCTAATTGTAACACTTTTTAATCATATGCTGCTTCAGATTCATACATTCAGTCAACCAATGCTAATACTTCCGTCATAACTATACCGTATGCTTCAAGTACAACTCAATTCTTAACCACTACCAGCTTAAGTTTCAACGATAACTTATTTGCTGCTAATAATGGTTTGTATTTATTCATTAGTAGAAACCAGCCATAGATAGGATCTCCGATAAATTAGCCTATTCGTTAAATTGTTCTAGCATGCAATGATGCATAATTATCATTTGCTTAACTATTGATCGGGCAGTAAAATCATTGCCGATGAAAGTTTTCTATTTTCATATGTAAAGTTACCAGTTGAAAATTAATAGCATTGTCCACTTTTTATCATTCCAGTTATAAAAATCACTAAAGTAGCCGCCTCTAAATTTTCTTCATTACAAAATCTATGGCCAGTAGTTCGTACTGATCTTGATTCCAGGTAAACAAGCATTGAATCATAAATTAGCTTTGAAGTAGATTATAAATGAATATTGGAACATGCTCTATTCTACCAATGATCATATTATAAAGTAACCTTATTTCTTTCTATCGCTACATAATCATACGCGTATCCCTAACAGCATAGAATTAAGTGCCGAGAATGAACTAGCCATGCTATCGGAAGTAGTATCAGCGACTACCTTACCCAAAATCTCTAATACAACTCTCAGCAATATCTACATCAACTATCAACACTTCCAAACTAACGTAAATTTTCCAATTATAACATTCCAGAAATACTTTAATCTTCGTATTGCTTAAAATTTATCATCGATTTTTTGATTACAGGTTACAATCAGTACAACTTCAATTATTTGTGCATATTTCGATATCACAAGGTAAGAGAATAAACGCTTGTACAGTTTCCCTACATCCTATTGCTACGAAATGAGATTTTTACTAGTTATATGAATACAGTTTTATAAGTTTACTCTAATTTTAACCCATTTTGTTTGATAACTGTGGCATATCCACTTAAACATAAAATTTCGTAGTGTGTTAGTCTATCGAGAGACTATCGGTAAAATCGTTGCCTACATGCTTTATTTTAATATATCATCATCACTATATATGAATCATCGGCCCTTATTTTATTTATGGAATATTATGACATTTGTTAGTATATGCAATAGGTCGTTGGTAAATTGTTAGCTTTGTTCAGTTATATAACGGCATAGTAACTATAACCTTTAGCTTAATGCTCTATCTCTACTGAAATTGTTTGGAAATTTCTAGCGAATCTTCCTTGTTATACAGCAGAAGATTTTCAAAATTGTATCGCTTGTAATTGTACGTACGACTAATTTTCATTCCATCATTGAATATGACAGCGGTAAATGGAACAACAAAACTTGCTCAAGAGTTAAAGATAATGTGACCAATCCTAAAACATCCAGATGTGACTGCAACGCATTTGGTGTTTATGGTTTATTATATATTAAACCAAAACAAATTGTAAGTAGAGTATGATAAAATGTATGTTTTGCTTTGTGTTAGTTAACTGCTTATAATGACTACGATTATGGCCATGTTCATTCAAGGTGAATTTAAGTGCCTTTTCATTCAATTTTCCCGTCCATATAGATTGCTCCAATTTACTTTACACTTCCGACAACATTCCCATGCTTTGCAGTTGGCATTGGTGGTAGCTTAGTCACCCTCATTATTCATATTGTCTTAGCTATGTAAGTTATGTATAAATCAAATTTTGCAAATCGTAGATTAATCATTAACTAGATATTTCTTGCACAACTTTCTATGGTATCTATTCAATCACACTCATTTTTGCATTAATGTTATTTACTAATTAAATCAACGTGCAATTTCTTTAATTTTTAATTTTAATTCTATCGAAAATGTCACAATAAAAGCCGTAGCCGAGGAAGAAAAAGTATTTCATCAATAAACTTATGCTTTACTACATTCGCCGCCAGCATATTGATTATTGTTGGCCCATTTCTGCAACTTATTAATGTTAAAGTTAATGTAAGTCCAAGATAGAAAAAATTCTCTTGCTATCGCTATAAAAGAACATACAAAATCAGCGTAGAAATTTAAATAATTGTTTTAATCGAATCTATAAATTATTCTTAATATAGTGGGCAAGTTTTTGCTTACCTGTTGCTATTACCACCCATGATCTCGCTTTGATTGCGTCGATGGCGACAATTGTTGAAGTCCACTTTCATATGAATGGCGTAATCAATGCTAAATCCAAAGTGAATGAACTGGGTTTAGTACTCTTATCCTACGGTACTGCAATTATTTATTGGCTACAGCATATGCATAAGTGCTTTTAAACTTTTAAAACTAGAAATTATAATATAGTACTTTATAAGCTAATTGATAAATCCTTGCTAACAGTTTTTAAAGTGTAGCTATTACCAGCTATAATTACATTTGGTCTTAAAATGTTTTATAGCACGACAAACGGAGGAGTTTTCGGTCGTCATATGAAGCATTTGATCATTTGTTAGATAGAAATCGTTGAACAATAACTGCTGTTATTAGACTTCTAAATTACTTTCAAGGGATTTAGCTATCCCATTAGCTAACCATAGCGTATATATATATAACATCATATTTTATGGTAATAAATAGTACTATCTGAAAAATTACAATATTTCTTGCTACTAAATTGCTTAATATGCTAATTTTTATGGAATATTATAAAGTAGGCTATTATCTTGAATATCATTTAATTTACGCTATATCTTACTCGTAGATTCATTGAATAACAATCACGTTTGTCATTGAATTTTAATATATAATTAAGGCTTCATAATAATTTCACAAAACAAATCGTTACCAATAATTCATTTTAAATTTCAAAGCTTCTCATTTATCAGAGTTTATTATATAATTACCATTCTAAAGTTGAAATACAATTATGCAAATATCAAATCTTTTTAAATAATATGCCAACGGTCGCATTCTTTTTTACTAGCCAAATCATGAATTAGTTTAGAGTTTAAATGAAGAAATAAGTATTGCCATTTTATATAAAACTAAAAAATATAATAACGTAGACTGTATAACAATGCAAGATAACCAGAACACCTTAAAAAAAATTAACGGATTTAACTGTATATAGGTTTGAAAATTAGCACCTTCTATATCACTGAAATCATGTTATTAAATTTATACCTAATTTAGGAATCCCTGGTATGATTGTTGGACCTATTGCAGGAGCTTTTTCAAGAATTTATGTTAATCCGCAAACGTGAGTTGGAATAAATTATATTGTGAAACATTTGCATAAAAACTCTACTTATAAATATCAAGCTGCCTATGCGTTCTTGAAATGCGCTGTTTTGTGATAAATTAAATCTTTCCTTGAAAATCAGATAATACTACTTGTCTGTATTCCACGTAAACCAATTACAAACTATCTCGGAGCTAAGCCAAAAATTTTCTAAAATTAGTCCTAACATTTGATCATACGCATTCGTTCTCCTTCAAATGAAGAAATTATACCATTAGAGTACTTCCAGAGCCAAAGCCATGAGGCAGTCTCAACTATGCGATACCACTATTAATTAGGATACCTAATTGCTTTCACCGAATTATACAAATGATCTAGCTTACTAACTAAACCTTTATCCTAATTATACAGAAAATATAATTAGAACTAGTTATTAATTGATGCTTAATACTTGACTTTTTTTACAGATGTTGGTTGAGCAACAACAATAACTTATCGCTAACCTTTCTAGTCCCGGTGGCTGTCTTTGCCTTTGTAATGATAATCTAGCAGTTGTTGCGATTTCTTGTCGTCTGCAATCAAATAAAGCTAAATTCTTAGTCCTTACAATACTAAAGAAATATCTAATGAATTCAAAATTGTGCATAACTAGGTTGCCCTGGTCGTATACTTTGTATCAATCTATAAATATTATGCCAGTACAACGAAATACACCCGAAAAAATATTTCGTAAGTAAACCAATATACTAATTTTAATAGATGCTTTTGATTTTATCTCGCCAATACGGTCCCAAGTTCAACATGAAATAATGGTTAATATTATAGCATTAGATAAATCAAAGCAGTATATTCACCTAATAGTTGATCACACATTTAGTATTATTATTACTTTATCTCGAAGATTTAGTATTTGACTGCACTTTTTTATGCTTACTCTTTTCAGAAAACATATCATACTGTTACTGATACTGATGATTTCCATGTTTGGAGCTTATATTATTACCGGTTTAAACTATCGACAGAAGTTGGATGAAATATTTTTCTACATTTTTGACGTTTTAATTGCCTTACAGGTTAGGGTTTTTTCTTCATAAGAATAATTAATATATGGCAGTAAAGCTAATACAATCATTTTTCACTGTTTATTACTCAATAGGGTATCACCCTTTTCATACTGTGCATTTTTACTAGCTTAAAGGTCAGCTTTAAACCTTAATCTATTTCGAGATATTTCAGGCAAATTGATTTAAGAAAGCTTTGACTAGATCAATTTGAGTTAATAAATATTAATTGCAAATATATTATAAGAATATAAAGGCGTGTTAATCTATCTCAAATACGTTTTTTCAATTATCATTATAGTACGATGTCACTGGAAGAAACAGAGATAGGTAAGGAATTAACTTCAATTTCAGTTTCATTTACTCAATCTCATTAATGGTAAAATTAACTCTTTAATTTACACCAACCCAGCTTACGCATCGCCGAGACCAAAAATTTAGATGAAGAGACTAAAATATAAAAGACGGCACAGATCTCCATCCGGAATAACTCGTTCTAAAATCTACCGGTTGCAAAATTTTTTAATTTTGAAATTAAAATCCGAAGATTTTCACTTTTTAATGTTGCATTCTAGCAACCATGCCTTTTAGCAACTTTGCTAAATCATGGCTGAGTTGAATTCTATTTATAAGATTCGGACTAAAAAAGAGTAAAGGAATTCATGTTTGTGTTTGCGTTACTACTACTACAACATACTAGCCCTATTTAATGGCTCATTCCAGAGCAATTTCTATAAATCAACAGTAAAATCAAGAGCGTTTAATTTCCACGATAGGCTAAAAATATTCTAAACACTGCTGATAATAATCCATAGTTACGGTTTTTGAATTTTTATAATATCAGATATTACCAAAAATTTTTTAAAATAGGTAATTAATTGATACCAGTACAATTTCATTGCTACGTTCTTCTCTTACAGATAGTCTTGTAGGTAGAAATTTTACAATTAGATCGGCAATTAGATTGTATTGATAGACTAGCCTATGTTAATCAGACAGATACATTTGATAAATAGATACAGTAAGCTGTATTATTTTTAAGATACCTGCGATTGGAATAAATTACTTAGTCAACTGTCGTGATAATATATGTTACTTTAATCAAGGAGTTGAATAAATCGATACATGCAAATCCTTTTTCTGTTTATTAAGGCATAATTTACTGCCGAAATAACGCGAATATTGCAAGCAACACAATTAAAATCAGATTTATCACTTCCTTGTGATATACTGTATGAACGCAAAGTTAAGTTGTAAGAGTTACGTGCATATGTAATACTGTCAAATGACTAACTTATCATTAATAATTTTATTCTCTATCAAATTGCAGCCAGTTTTATAAATTACCTATAACAGTATTATATTTTAATTTCGTTATTAAGTTAAGCAGGTGCTATACCCAATTTATTTCATGAGTAAGGAGTTGATAACATATAAATTATTTAGACACAATTTATATTTTATTTTAGGTATGCTGATACCACTTTATAAAATAGGAAATAGTATACTGTCAAAATTTTGAATTCTCAAGAGAATCGCTTATAGCAATCAGTTTAATGTAAAATAAGATTGCTTATCTAGGAATGTGTCAAATTATCAGTGACATGTTTTACATGATTTCAATAGAAAATTGCTTAATTTTACAGCACTATTTATTTCTGAATTGTTTAACAAATTTCGAGTTCTGTTTGTTTAAAGGGAGCCTATCGCTTCTAATGCTTCTTCTAATGATAGAATATCGTTAGCATTTAGAGTTTTGGTGTTTGTAAAAGTTAAAGAGAACAAAGCTGAAAGTAGACTCGTAGTGCTGTGATTTCTGCTATAGTTTTAAATATTCCTCGTTACAAATTTATAACATTGCCCATACGAAAGCTCACTCGAGAGTGATCTCAATAGATCTATAGTAAATCAAGCGTGCATGATCTCTAGCATAAGTTTCAAGTGTTGTAAATACCGATAATTAATTATAACGATTGTTAACATTTTAAAATTTTTTAATATCTAAGAATTTCCAAAAAATTAAAAATTGATTATTAATCAATTCCAGTGCAATTTCATGGCTATATACTTCTGTTATAGATGCTCTTGTCAGCAGAGAAGATATTATTACTAGATAAGCCTATTAATTGTACCGATAGACGGTTATATGATAAGCAAATAAGTATTTTTGTTGAATGGTAAATCAAAGCTTCATTTTAATCTCTATTGAATTGCAGCCAGTTTTTTTAATAATTCGTATAATGCAATTGTAGTGTATTTAGAACATACAACGGCTATATTCTACTCTTAAATATAGACATCTTGTATGATCTTATATTGAGACATATCTTCAGTCTGTTCGCTCTACATTCAAATATGGCTTACTACATTTAGTTATTACAGTCCTCGCTATTTTCTACAATCATCTGCTATTCTATAATCTGTTATGACATATGTTGAATCTAATCCTACAATCATGTTCTCTGCATGTGTTTTAATGCCATAGCTATAAATACCGCCGTTTTTTCTACCTTTGATTTCTTAAGTTACATTATTAGTCACAGGTAGTATTCACACTTTACTCATGGCAACTAAAACCACATTATCTGACCTGACTCTTCGAACCCTCCATCACTACAATCCTATATAAATACCCGTATATTGTAAAATTATTGAATCAATTGCAATGAGTAAGAAAAGAGTTTACAATCTAGATTAGGCGTAGATGAATTAAATAGCAATGAATTAGTTTATAAATTGGGCAAAATAAGCGTAACAAGTCATTCACAAATGTACGCATATGTGATAATAAGAACTCATCAGATAAGATAGCCTTTACTGGAAAAGTCAAGCTACTTTCTATTCATGTCGCTCTATAGCTAAGAATATTTTCAATAATGAAAACCTAAGAAGCTCTCTTAGTTTATGACTCTAGTCTAGAGTTAACTAATCTATTCTTTTTCGATATCAACTAGAACTCTTGTCTGTTACAGCTGAAATGCTAACATTAAGACCCTCAGTTAGATGGAGAGCTACTAGTTGCATCGCAATTGAGACAGAGGTTATATTATTATTTGTTAAATTCAAATTTTTGCATTGTATGATTAAGTACCGCAGTGCACTAGTGCTTGAAATTACTAAATATTGACTCGATAGAGGATATCTACAGTACAATAATAACAAGATCGTTTTATGAGTATACATTAAGCCCGCAACGTATTTAAAATATCAAGATTGAGCAAGTATAAGAAGATTAATAGTTATAATTAATGTATCATTTAAAGAGTTTTCTCGTTGAATTGAGTATAGAAAAGTATGACAGTCAGCGTATAAGCGATTTAGCTCTGTATTCAATTATCCCACGTCTGATATTCAATACAAGTTAGCAAGACGATATCATGATACGTCTGTGAACATCATACAGAACCAATTAAGCTTACTGTCGTCCAATGTCATATCTTTTCGGCCATCTCCATCTTCCATATACCAATAATACAGAAGAAATAATACAGTGTATATTCATGTATTCCGATGTACTACGAATCGTATGTTAAGAGTATGCATATGATATCATCTTTAATGCATACGGTATGCCACGGTGTACGAAAGCGTTATCACAAATAATTCCATCTGAGGAGTAATAATTCTTAATTAACAGTATTTAAAATCTGCTTTGTTACGAACAGTTGCTATGCCATATAAATACTTCTATTCATTTTGGTTACAAAATTGTACTGGTTTTATTACATAAGGAACAATGTCCTACTCATGATATTGCCCCTCAATTTACAGCTATTCTGGTACTTTATAGCAAGAGCATTAGACATTAGAGAAGCAACTGGGTAAACCAGTTAATTACTTTCTAAGCTTATTGTCATCTACCAATATCTACCACATTGGATAATGTAGTAGAGTATATCTTAAGGTATATTTTATACTGTACCAGGCACTTTTATACTCAATGATAATGAGCGGTAATCTCCAATTAAGAATGTTTTTCATTGCATGCCATTATAGCGCTGCAAGTAACTATAGAAACTTTTTTCTGAGTGCCGCCCCTAAATTGTTGTTGTCTTATAGCCTACACTATATAACTCCACAGGCATGACGAGGTACCTATGTTAATTACTTTCGATAATTATCTTTGTCAAGCTATATCTACGACACCAAATAATATAATTGACCAGATCTTTATTACATGACAATCGGTGATAAAGTCACAAATTATTAGCCTAGAAGAAAGCTATCTTTAATAATTGTAGTAATCTTCGTTTACTGTAAGTCTTATTTGCCATCTCATAATTGAACTGTTTGTTTAGCTAATGTTATCTGATATTGAATCTGTTATTCGTTAGATTTTAAGTATGGAATATCGATCTGGCAAGTCTGCTTTCCTTCAGGCAATAAAATCACTTTATGCAAAGGCCATAGAAAATCATCAGGCTGGCAATCTTAACGAAGCAATATCTTGTTATACACGAATCTTGGATAAAATTCAAGTTATGTTTGTAAGAATTGCTGATTTAGATCGACTTGAATGTGATATCTGTCTTCGCGTGAGTAGCATATATATGAAACAAAGTGAATGGACGAAAGCCGAGGAAATAATTATACAAGCACGAAAAGTAGCTGAGAAGCTGAAAGAAGAAAGAATGATTATTCGATGTTTAGAGAGACATGGTGACATAAAGCAAGTCAAAGAAGATTGGAATGGAGCATTGGCTGACTATATAAAATCACTTGATAAGAAATTAAGTTACGTTAGCAAAGGAGATTTAGGTGTCAATCATTCTTACCTAAAGATAGCAACGATCTACTATACTCAATGTAGATACGATGAGGCTATCTCCATGTATGAGAAATCACTCCAAATGCAATTATCAGTCCTTGGTCATGATCATCCCGACATTGCTGCCTTATATAACAACATGGGTGCTGTATATATTAATCAGGGCAAGCACGAAAAGGCAATTTCTGTGTTTGAAAAGTCACTTAAAATTCAATTGTTAGTCCTTGGTCATGATCATCCCGACATTGCTGCCTTATATAACAACATGGGTGCTGTATATATTAATCAGGGCAAGCACGAAAAGGCTATTTCTGTGTTTGAAAAGTCACTTAAAATTCAATTGCTAGTCCTTGGCCACAACCATTCTGATGTTGCCAAATCTTATAACAACATTGGTCTTGTCTATAAGCAACAGGCCAAATATGAACAGGCTATATCGATGTATGAGAACTCACTCAAAATTCAATTATCCGTCCTCGGTCACGACCATCAAGATGTTGCCACGTCATATAATAACTTGGGAAATGTGTATTATCATCAAGGCAAGCATGAACTGGCTATTTCCATGTATAAGAAATCACTCAATATTCAATTGTCACTGCTAGATCACAATCATCCCGATATTGCCAAATCATATAATAACCTAGGAAACATAAATTTTGAACAGGGAAACCATGAAGAGGCTATTTCTATGTATAACAAGTCACTCAAAATTCGATTATTAATTTTGAATAATAATCATCCTGATGTTGCTCAATCCTATAACAATCTAGGAAGTGTGTATTCAAATCAGAGCAAGTATGAAGAAGCTATTTTAATGTTTAAGAAATCACTTAAAATTCAATTGTCAATTTTAGGCCACGATCATCTTAATGTTGCCCAACTATATAGCAACTTAGGATCTGTATATAGAAAACAGGGCAAGTATGAAGAATCTATTTCCATATATAATAAGTCCCTTGAAATTAAATTATCGGCCTTTGGTCACAATCATCCCGATGTTGCTTCATCTTATAGTAAACTGGGAAATGTGTATGCGGATCAGGGCAAATATGATGAGGCTATTTCTTTGTATGAAAAATCACTCCAAATTCAAATATCAGCTCTTGATCATAAGCATCCTGATATTGCTGTATCTTATAATAATATGGGAGCGGTGTATATTGATCAGTGCAAGCGTGAGGAAGCTATTCGTATGTATAAGAAGTCATTAGAAATTCAATTATCAATCCTTGGCCATAATCACCCCGACGTTGCTAAGTTATATAGCAACATTGGTCTTGCGTATATGCATCAAGGAAAGCATAACGAGGCTATCGCAATGTATGAGAAGTCACTTAAAATTCGAATGTCTGTCCTTGATTGCAATCATCCCGATGTTGCCCAATCCTACGATAATATGGGAGACGTATATTCTAATCAAAACAAATATGAAGAGGCTATTTCCTTGTATAACAAGTCTCTCGACATTAAATTATCAGTCCTTGATCACAGTCATCCCGATATCGCTATATCATATAGCAATATAGCTAATATATACTACAATCAAAGTAAACATGAAGAAGCTATTCGTATGTATGAGAAATCACTTAAAATTCAGTTGTCAGCTGTTGGTTACGATCATCCCGACGTTGCTAAATTATATAACAATATGGGAGCTATCTATAATGATCAAAGCAAGCATGAAGAGGCGATTGCTATGTTTAAGAAATCACTCAAAACTCAATTATCGGCTCTTGGTCACGAGCATTCCGATGTTGCTACGTCATATAATAATCTAGGAAATGTGTATGCTGATCAAGGCAGATATGGAGATGCAATTTCCATGTATGAGAAGTCACTCAAAATTCAATTATCGATCCTTGATTTGGATCATCCTGATATTGCCACATCATATAACAATCTTGGAAATGCATATGCTGATCAGGCTAAGTATAGAGAGGCTATTCGTATGTATGAAAAGGGAATCAAAATTCAATTATCAATCTTTGGCGAAAAGCATTCCAATGTTGCCAAATCATATAACAACATGGGAGCTGCGTATAGTAATCAGGGCAAGTATGATGAGGCTATTTTTATGTATGAGAAATCACTTAAAATTAAACTCTCAATCCTTGGTCACAACCATCCCGATGTTGCGAAGTCATATAACAATATGGGAGCTGTGTATAATAAGCAAGGCAAGCATAAAGAGGCTACTTCTATGTATGAGAAATCACTCGAAGTTCAATTATCAATCCTTGATCACAATCATCCCGATATTGCTGCATCATATTACAATATGGGAGCTGCTTATTTCGATCAGAGCAAGCATGAAGAGGCTATTCAAATGTATAAGAAATCACTTAAAATCGAATTGTCGGTTCTTGATGACGATCATCCCGATCTTGCTAAATCATTTCACAGTCTAGGAAGTATATGCCATAATCGAGGCAAGTATGAGGAAGCTATATCGATGTTTAAAAAGGCTCTTAAAATTCAACTATCGATCTTCAATCACAATCATCCTGATGTGGCTTCGATATATAACAATATGGGAGTTGCGTATAATTGCCAGGAAAAACACGATGAGGCTATTTCTATGTTTAAAAAAACTCTCAAAATTCAATTATCAGCACTTGATCACAATCATCCTGATGTCGCTAGCTCATATAGCAATCTAGGAAACGTATATTTCGATCAAGGCAAGCTTGAAGAAGCTACTGCTATGTATAATAAATCACTAAAAATTCAATTGTCAGTTCTTGATCACAATCATCCCAATGTTGCTCAATCATACTATAATCTAGGAAATATATATAATAATCAAGGAAAGCAAGATCAGGCTATTTCTATGTATCAGAAGTCCCTCAACATTCGATTATCAGTCCCTAGTCTCAACCAAGCAGATGTTGCTCAGACATATAATGGCATAGGAGCTGCATATAATAATCTAGGCAAGCATGAAGAGGCAATTTCCATGTACAAAAAATCGCTCAAAATTCAATTATCAGTCCTTGGTGATAGTCATCCTGATGTCGCTACTTCATATAGTAATATAGGAGCTGTCTATTTTCATCAGGAAAAACTTGAACAAGCTATTTCTATCTACGATAAGGCGCTCAAAATTCGATTATCAGTTCTTGGTCAAAATCATCCTCGTACTGCTAAATCTTATAACGATATAGGAGCAGTGTATTTCGCTCAAAGAAAACATGATGAGTCTATTGCTATGTACGAGAAATCACTAAAAATTCAGCTTTTAGTCCTTGATCATAGTCATCCGGACGTTGGCATATCTTATAGTAACCTCGGCGCTGTTTACTTTGAACAAAACAAGCATGAAGAGGCTATTCGAATGTACGAGAAATCGCTTAAAATTCAATTATGTACTTTTGATGACAATCATCCTCAGATTCTGATGCTCTATTATAAGATGGGAAAGGTGTATGAAAAGCAGAATAAGCAAGAACAAGCTCAATCTATGTATCAAAAATCATCTAAAATGCTCTTATCGTCATCATCTTGATACTAATCAGGCATACAGACTTCATAATATGGGCATTCTGGTCAATTACTAGAGAACCTTAATATTGGACATAAGGCTGAAGATTCTCTTAGTACAGAATATATCGGGAAATATTTAAATATTAATTATTTTCTTCCGTCACAATCATTATGTTTTCCTATCATGAATCATATAATACTGTCGTTTATGTCAATATATTCAAGTATATTTCCACAAGAATATTCGATGAATGCTCTCGAGCACTGATCGGTATCAATTTATATAATATGCTCAGTATATCATATGGTGCTTACTTCAGATTACTTACTGTTACACTGTGAACATGCGATATTCCTGTAACTAGCTGAAATTACTACGAGATGGCTAGTTAATATAGCTAAGAAGCATACGAATATGTACTACTTTGAAATATCGGAAAACATAGATGTCACAAAACAGCTTTGCAACAAGATAACGCAATATACGATCAATAAGTCAATTCCTTGAACCACGTATCAAGGAACGATATCTGCACTATCACAAACACTTTTGCTCTACTAGCAGACTACACAAAGACTTAAACGCCTCGTATTTTACGTTAAACACTAAGTTGGACAATTCTTCTTTATTTCACGATATTCTGCATTTATATACTATTCCTCAATAGTTCATGAGTCATAGTTAATACAATGAACATTAGAATCATTTACTGAATTAGATATTAATTTTAGCTACTGCTCCCTTAATGCAGACAACAGTATTTACGAACATAGACATATAATGACTAATACAGAATAGTCAGATTACGATATGTCCTATCACGGAACATTTCCATGATAATTTACAGTCTACCATAAGTAAATTACAATCACAATGATTCGAACTGTAAGCAGATGATTTGCATTCCCTATTATAACTATTAATTTCAGTATGTGTATAAGTGTCACTGTCATAAAAAGTCAGTGCTATATTAAAACACAGTATATCCAAATTAGAAGTTAACTAAATAAGGATAGTCTAACAGAATTATCCTAACATAGTTATTTCTACTGTAATACAGTATTTAACACTGTAACAATAGAATATAATTTTGTACACTTGAGCTTTTATCACGGAATGTTGCATTATTTCTTCACTATAAGACAAAGATATGTAATCTAAATGCTTGATAGGAGTAAATCCTAGATATTGCAAAATTAGCAAGTAATCTTGTGTAGTCATTTTTACCGTTATTACTTTCATCATTAAATTCTTGCTTCGGGTTAATGTTATTTCAAGCTTATTGGAGAATTATCTCAATTTGTTTAAAGTACTGTTTCAATCAACTTTCTAATATCCAACATGACTCAAAATAGCTATCTTATATTTTCAGGTTTACATAAAATTTTATCGCAGTTGCATTGATGATTGAAGCACAACACCAAATTACAATAATTTTAACAATAAACTTATAAAATTACTTAAATGAATGATAGAAAAGATAGACATACTGCCTTAACCAGCCGAACTACTGAAAAATAAATAAGAATAACCCATTATTAAGGAATACAAATCCTACTTCTTACTAGCCTATCTTTGGAATTTCTTTAAACCATCAACTACTAGACTATTGCTCTTTCGCATTACATCATCCTCATTTGCTATGTAAAGCAGTTAGTAATATCAAACTAATCAAATATTATTCTAAAATATACTAAAATTAAGTCAGTAATTGAGATGCTTGTAGCGAGAATAATTTACTCGATCTTTTCTGCCAATCCTCAATAATAATAATTAAGTGCTACTTTACTTTGGGGTTGACTATTGGCGTGTATGCTAATTTTCTTTATTCAAATTGTTAAGGAGGAAGAAAATGACAAAGTGAACTTAAATAGTGCAAGGAATGTATTGAAAATGAAATTTAGTCTTTACTGTTGCAGAAAATATCTAGCAGATTATGCCTAAGCAGTCAGTATTCAAGTGATTTAAGCTAATTTGTGAAGTAAAAAACAGCAGGTTACATGTATGTCTACAATTAATGGCGCAATTGTAGCCTAACAGCTGCATGTGAGAAGTGATAAATTTGCAGAAAGCTGCTAAGCGAAATGATTAGTAAAGGTTTTACTATTGGAAACGTTGCTATTTTATCAACGAAAGATAGATGTCACTAGTTAATAAAGCAGTAACCTATCCGGCTTAGCACAAGGCAAATATCATCTCAAAAGCATATCAAGGATTCTTGACTGACGTAAAATAAGTAATTATCGATAACAATTTACTAGATAGCCTAAGTGCAGCCTAATTTTTATCAGATAGTGTTGGTAAAGAACTGAACTTTTGAACTCTAAATTGTAAAAGTAGCTTAAGATGACTCTTTATTTCCTAATGATGGCAATAGTACTGGAATGTAGTTTCTCTAATCCTCCTTCTTTAACTTGAAATGCTGATTTAGAATTCTGAAAGAAAATAGATTATTCCAGTGTCAATCTATTGCTTAATTTGCTCCCGAGCTGTATGAAATTAAAATTTTAGAATTCATGAATATAGACAGTTTAAAAATTAGTTACAGCAAAGAATCCACGATCTCAGTTAAAACGATTTTTACATGAATAATTTAATCCAATGTCGTCTGCTATTAAAAAAATAGGTTATAGCTATTAAAACTACCGCAAAAGGTAATAAATTGTACTTCAAATCAAACTGATTCATAATGCAAGTTTTCAAGGTTACAATTTTACTCTCTGCTTCATTTTGATTCTACAAATTCTCTCTATTTTACATCGTCAATAGTAAGTTCAATTTTGAGTCTAATTTTTCATATTTACTCTCTAAATCGGCCGTTTAGTTAAAATTGCATACTTTTGCTACGTGAATGTAGCTTAAAAGGTCATAATATATACTGCAATTCAGAGTGGTCCTTATTCGAAATCTCCAAAGTTGCAATTTTGCTCATTGCTTCATTTTAAATCTCCACATTCTCAATTTCATATCGTCGATTTTAAGGTCGATGTAAATGCTAATTCCTTCATATTTACTCACTGAGTCAGCTGTTTAGTTGAAATTTTCATGCTTTCGCTACATGTATCGACCTCTAACATCACTGCCTGATTTTTTTCTTAGTTTGAGTTTTTGGATCTAATAAAGGATTATATAACAATTTCTTTTTTAGACTAATACATTTTCTGATTCTATTATTCTGCAGCAGCTAATACAAGTAATAACGCTTGAGTATCCAAGTAGCTAAAACGATTAACCGAAGAATACGAATCTATTCAATATATAATTTAGTAATTTCATACTTACTAGGTTTGCCATTTCAGTTCCTTTGCCAGTCTGAATCCAAAATTAATAATTTCAAGAATTAAAATTGAATTACTTAGTCTAATTCGTGTGGTAATGAAAGTTAATGTCGAGGTATATATGAAATTTTAAATCAAGCTGTTTCGGTCCATAGTACTGAATGACGTTAATATATGATTATCATAAGCGCTAGTGTTTAAATAAAGCCACATTATACCTCCCCTTTTAGGCGCTTGCTAATCATCGTCCATGTTCTAGTAGATAATTTGAGGAGTAAAGATGCGTTAAAAATGAAATTATAAAATTTCTTATTTTCTAAATCATTTATAATTGATTGTAGATGCTATAATAATAGTATTAAACTCTTCACATTTCGAGATAGCCAACACTATTTTATGGCTAATTACGTTTACCTTTGTGAAGCACGACGATTTTTTTCTGTTACTTCTGCTGTTCGTAAGGTTAGACCAAAAATATCCTCATGGTATCTGCCATTTTTCTAGACCACGACAGTCATATGAGGTAAAGATGGAATTTATACCGATTCATTGGTGGATCCATTTCAATTGTATTCCCTTACCTTCAAGTTTTTGGTCATTTCGAGAGCATCTTCTTGGCTAAATTGCCCATAATCAATGAGTATATTCTGTAATTTATTATTCAGTAGCCAAATTTCTTGAGATGCTTCATTAATCATATTTACGGATTCATAATTCGTACATGGAAAGTAAAATCAATTTGATCAAACCTGAATTGCTCTTGTTACACCTGCTGCCATAGATACATCACCACATACGTAAATATGCCCGTCGTCGTCTAAAAGCATTGCGAGCACCTCATTACCATTTTGGCTCAGTATGTCTTGCACATATTGCTACATAAATGGAAAAAAAGCTTATGTAAGCAAGGTTAATAAATGCTAATAACTAACCGTAAGAAAGTAAGTATCTTAAAGATGGCTAGATGCGCGTATTTTTAACCTTTGGTTCGTCTGGCGCCCTTGAGTAAGCTTTATAAACTTCTTTGATGACCTTTTTATTCACGCAATCCTCCAATTCTTCCCTATAAATGTCATCCTTTACCGGTGTTCTGCACCCAAAGTATAAAACCATGTCACCAAAGTTATTTGAAGAATTGTCCTCTTCTTTTTGGGCATCACTACCAGCAGTAGCTGCTTTGCACTCTAAAAATTATAAAAAAATACTGCATGTCAACGAGCTAGGAAGATGATGCCAGCAATTTCTGTTATTGGAATAGTAATCTATATTTTCTTATTTGCAAGTTTAAATCATCTATTTGGATAAGATATCGCATACCATATGCTATTAGTTAAGCACTTGATAAGTTACCACTGCTAGCACAATAAATATGCAAAAGTTGATAGTAAAATACCTATGGCTCTCTGTTGCCAAAAGCTTCTAAAAGGAGCTATTCCTGTTCCAGGGCCAACCATAATGATCGGTATCGAGTTATTAGATGGCATCTGGAAGCTTGGAGCTCTGTCATACGATTATTTAGTACATTAGAAAGTAAAGCAAAATTAGCAAATACCAATCAAATCATCGAAATTTAAACTGTGTTACAGATTTTCATGTTAAAAATCATAGAAACGTAGAAATTTATGATCGCGTGTAGTTCATCTAATACTTCTAAAGTATATAGAAGGATTCTTAATCTAAAAGCTTTAAAAACCTGACTAATTTTGTTAGAGCCCAACTCAATGACTACTTCTTTAATTTATAAGAAATATACGTATATAACTCTCTAGCAGCATCAAATTCAGTACTACCTGCTGAGCTGTAAGTTGTCAGCTATTTTTGATAAATAATATAAAATATATTAATTAACATCAAATGTATTTTAAGTAATTATAGCGTAGTATAATTATACTATTGGCAATTGGGTGTCAGGGTACGAAGCATCGTGAAGACTAAATGAGTAAATTCAGTGTTTAACATTTATATATAGAGGTAACTAATAATAACTTATAGTAAGAAGTACGGTAGTTATTATTTTGTTACAGTAAATTACGCTGTACTGTAGTAAGAGTTCTCATAAGGTAACTAATATTCATTGCTTATCGTGTTATGTCTTGTAACACTTGTGATTAATATCTGGAAGACATTCATAATTTAGCTATCCAATACGAACAAAATTTCATCTACTGTTATGACTCATACATGATAGCAGCTGCCGAAAGGTATTTAAGTTCGGCAGATAGTTGAATAAAGAAGAGTTCTATAGTTGTTTAACGTAGAAGCAAAGGTGTCTAAACTCTTGTGAGATAGTTAAGAGATACTAAATCTCGAAGACTAGTAACTTAGAGATTTGCTTTGCGTTATCTTTGTCATGAAACTGGTTTGTAACTAGGGGTAAGTTTCAAAATCCTCTTAAAATATTTGCAAGATTTGGCAGTACGTCACTTGGGTATTATTATTATAAACTTTGATAATATTTATTTATAATAGTATATAATTGCGCTAGCTCATAAAAACCTCCTTAGAACTCGAAGATAGGAGAATGCATAATCTAAGTAAAAATTTCCTTACGCTTTAGTGAAACAGTGGATAGTTGCTCCTTCTTTTAAGGAATTAAGCCAATTAGAGCAAACACCGCGGCACAGCTTCCCTGATTTAGTATAATACTGTACCACTCCAACTGTAATATGGATCTCATTAGGAAACATGGCCATAGATGAGGATATCGAATAGTATCTCTAAAAAAGTAAAGAAATTTTCCGTTTACAATCCATAAATACATATGAATTATGCTGCAATTAGACAGCCCCATCTATATTATGTACTTGTTTTAATCGCGGTAATTTCGACAGCAATAGAGTAGATTGTATTTGAAGAGATGGAAACTTATCGATCACATCCAATATGTTAGGATTTTCGTAAAATTTCCAGTCTTCATATTCATCTTGTCCCTAATATTGAAGCATTTAGACTTATTCTATGCTAACTTAAAATCTTAAAAATATAACGTTACTGTGCATCGCAACAAAGACAATCAATATTCTATCACTATCACTTAGTGTTACTTATAATAGTACCTTTGCTAACTCTTCTAGATGGCTCTTTTCTTTTTCATCCTTGGCCTAGAAATGATAGAAAATCATCATAAAGTCTATCTACAGCATGATATATGGAGTTCAACCGTGCATTGCCAATTCTTAGCCAGATTTATTTCAACTATATGAGTTTATAAATTATACATTAACAATCTCCGCCTTAACGCAGTCTTACCTGATTGACCAAATATTGCAGAAATTGTGGTGTAGGAGGTGTTGATATATCGACAAATCGAGAAAATGCTTCTCTTAACGTAAAAATAGGTGGTATATGGTTATCAACCGTCCAATTTTTTTCTAATCGATACGAAAACAAAATTTTAATCAATTATGATAAAAATTGGGGACAAGTATGAGTTTGACAGCAAGTATTAATAAGGAGCATGTAAGTCAGGTTATTTAAGACCGTTATTTAGATATTCCATTTGAATAGGTGTATCTGGCGACTGTCCATCTGTTAGTTTAGTTAATAAAGCATCCACTATTTCCGGATCATTGCCTGGAAATATAGACAAATGATCGCCAGCAGCATAGTTCAAGCTAGAATTGTTGCCCTTATCCAACTTAACGAGAATCGTGTAATGCCTTTATAATATAACAAAAAATTCCTAATGAATTTTTATAATTTATCTACAAAAACTAAATATAGCAGGAAATAAAAGTATACAAGAAAAAATTCAAAATTCAAAATAATTAAAATTAGGATAAAATACTATTTCTTTCTTAGCATCGTATTATCTTACGGATCGAATAGTAATTTCAACCACTATTAGGCATTAATTATATCTCAGCTATCGTTGAAGGTACTATAACTTACAAAGAAGTGGTGGATTGTAAGCTTGTAACGGAAATAACTGTTGCTGATTGAATCTTCTTTGAATGAATTTTGGACAGAGCTAATTCAATATATCAAATTTGTAATGATAGCAGGTAAGCTACACATTTTCGATGAGTTAAGCGTCGCCATATGTATGCATAAAATTACGACTAGCGATCATTTTACTAACTGATGTAAGATCGAAATTAAACGCTATATTACCTTCAATAAGCGGCTTGATGGGTTTCTTTTCTTTATGCACAAGACGATAATTACTCTCTGACCAAGCTGGTACGGTTGTTAATAATGTATTAGTTGTCTTAAAATCGCTATTGAGATCGATTGAAAATGTATTGCAGGCAGTCTAATCAATTAATAAAGACATTTCGTTAAAAAATGGATCAATCTTGAGACAATTTCTTAATTTTTCTTATCAGATATTGAAGAGAATCAATTCATTATGAACTTAGTAAATAAACTACACATACACGCAAAGCATTATCAGCCCATATCTTAAATGATTCCTCTTGTCCGCAGAGTTCATCCCCTTCACCAAGAGGACAAATTCTTTCGGCTCCCATTTTGTGCAATGAAGCATCAATAAAACGGCCGAAAGCACAAAAATTATCTCCATATACTCTGGAGCCTAAAGCGAATACGGAATATCTGCATAATAAAAAGTCAAATAAATTCTAAGACCTTTTCAAAAGTATAGAATTGGCTAACATAGAAGCTTCGATAGCAACAACAAACAAGATAGATAAATTTATGCCACAGTTACGAAGAGGCATACTATTATTGGTGTTATTTATCGCTGTTAGGGTACATGAAACCAGTTATTATTACAAATGCAATGATTATACATAATTAAATTAAAATATAGCTTATTTTCAAAGAAATGTTAACTATTTTAAATACGATTTACATTTCTATTTTCATATTTTTTATCGTACAGTATTGCAATAGTAAACCTAGATCACAGCAGTTTTACAGCGCAAAGCCAAAATAATCTTACTTAACATTGAGAATTCTTGTACCATAGTCATTTAAAGCATTGTAGTCTTCCCTACAACAATTAATATTATCAGTCCTTCAGATATTTTCATTCAAAATGCTGTCTTTCGCTATATTAAAATATCAGTGTTTATTCTAAGCAAATAGAACTCTTCAGCTCTTATCGGTATATTAACTGCAAAAATATAGTAAAATATACTAACTCTTGATTTTGTACATGGTATGAATGTAAGCGATGGCGAAGATGTTTATCGAATTCCTAATTTAAAACATACAAAATATTATAACATGAAAAATAGCTATGGCATTAGTAAAGTGCAGGGATATGTTTACCTCGCCATTATGAGGTGGATCAGCGTTACCAAATGTACTGGTGACAACGAAAACAAGATTTTCGTAATCCAAATTGTTAAAGTCGTAATTCTCCAAGCAATAAATCTACCAAAAATATGGCAATACTAACCAATTTTAGGATGCCTCAAAGTTATAGAGTTTAAAATAAATTTCACAGTCGATTACATTTCAGTGAGTTTTGAGAATTGATTAGAATCAGTCCTTGATCAGAATTGGTTTTAGCAAAAACAGGTAAGCTATGAGTAATGTTTATTAATTTAACCTTTGCATCGAAAGCCAAGTCTAGTAGCTTTTTCAGCATTTTACCATATCTTTCTGATGTGCCTGTCTCCGTTGAATACAAAATGGTTGCTTTGATTCGCTTGGCAAGGGCTTTAGCCATGAGCTCTGTCGATAAACGCACCATCCTTCATTACGCCATAAATAAAAAATCATTTTTCGATGAATAGCGTAATCAAGTCAAATAATGAAATAGTTTGAAATCAAATTTTAGCCATCTATCACATTTCGATAAATAGCGTAACTAGGTCAAATAATCAAACAACAAGAAAATTAAATTTAGCCTTATATGTTCAATTAAAAGTGTAATTTTAGATCTTTAGTTTAATAGCAATTGCGTTAGGAAGGAAGGATCAATTACACCACTATGTACTTTGCAATATCTTTAAATTTTCCTTCTTTGGTTTTAATTGGTGTCTTTCTGCGATGAATTTTCCATGCATCGACCTAAACAAGATATTAATTGTCTTTTATCTGGAAGGCTAAATTGCTGTTATAGTCTCCATCATTCTACGATTACTTTATGTAATATTGATGAGACTCAAATATTCTAGTACGAACCTGATACTCTAGGCTTGGCTTAATTTTATAATTCAACATTTCCTATACAGTTCATGATCAAAATATCAGGTACATTTAGACAGATCTAGCCTATAAATTATATACTCGTATATACTTGTACAATAATTGCTATTGGTACCATGAATTTGAGTTTGCTCAACCTGATGAAAAACTTTTGTGGCCGATCCTGATATCGGAGGAACTACCCAGACCCAATCGGCTGGACAACCACCGCGTAGTTTTTGCTATAGTAAAATAATGTAAAGCACAATTAGCTTCAACGTTGTTAATACTAGGTAACATACAATATATCGATTTGAAAATGGGATTTTTTAGCAATCGATATTATATTGAGTCATGTCTAAGTAATATCTAACCTCATTTTGTAGATGTTGCATGAAGGAATTGGATGTTGAATGATGGTCCACTAAAGTAACTCCGTGTTTCTAGATCATGTAGAGTTACCGAAAATTTGGATTACTGGTAAAGAAGTATCGGTCGAAAAGTGCAATTAACGGCGAAATTCATCTATGATAAAGCACACAATTAATAGTAGTTCTACTCTAATTTGGTATAGTGTCTAACTAGAAAACTATGCATAACGGCGCAGTTTATTTCCACGATGGCTTTATCTCTCCATAAAGTTGTTTCCGTTCGAGTATCAAGTTTCATACGTTGAGCCACAGGCTAAATCCGAGCATATTAAGAAATACGGATAAAATTCCATAGTTAGAATAGCAATCTGCAAAAATTATAAGTGTGGAAGATATTCATTAAAGAGACATGATATTATTGTGCTACCTACTTTGCATAAATTATAGCGATTTTCATCACCAAAGTCTCTTGCACCGATTTCAGTTACCATATACCTGCAATTAGTTTAAATTTAATTTTCATATAACCATTTCTTATAACCAAGGCTAACCAATTGAATCAGCAATTCTAAGTTGATGATACTTACCATCCATTAAATGGACACGCTGGGAATTCCACCCCTCCAATATCCAGCAAAAGACAAGAAACTGCAGGTAAAGCATACCATCGCAACTTGAGCTCTTCAAACCATTCATACCTAAACAGTTTCATTTTTACGTAATCAGCTTTGTGCATTCATTAACTACTCCAGAAGATGACTAAATATGTTATCTATTATTTTTTTAAAATCTCAAGAATTAGCAAGAATGATATGATATGCTACGTATTGGAATTTCATTCTGGGAGAGTATATATGTAGATCTTTACTCTGGATGAGAAATTGGCACTTCTAGAACTAAATCCGACGGAATTTCAAATAGCTCGGGATCTTCTCCGTTAGCTTGCAAAAGAAGAGGTAGAACATCAAACATGCCACCTTTACCTTTCCATCCATATGATTCACATATCTATTAATGTATTACAGTGATTAAATTCATTAAACTATTCCACTCTACTTCCTAATTTTGCCACAATTTCATTTTTTGCTGTGAAATATAATTCTATTTGGGCAGACAAAAAGCAAAAACAGTCTTCTAAAGAGTCAATTAAGTTTTGAGATGAAGGATTTTCTATTGCGTAAGATAGCAGCAAATAACTAACATCATTGGCTTATATAAGGAATTACTTTTAGGAAAACTTCGAAAAAACTAAGTGATGAACGACTATATACTGCAAATCGATATTTAGAAATTAACAATGTTTGATGTTTAAATGATACTTTTGTAAATTCGACGTTTGCTGGATCACCGATTACGGAGCCATCAGGTTGCTCATATCCAGCATAGCGAACTAACTGAATATTCCATACGCGAAAATCGTGCGAGTCATTAGCTCTGGGTGGGAAAATTGTCATAGCTGATCTATTGATCAAATTGTTAGGCTTAATTCAACGCATATGCAATTTATTATTTTTACGATTTGTAAAGAGATACAATATACAAAATTAAAGCTGAAATCTTGAGTAAAGTTGATATAGAGTTTCTAAAACTATTGTGAGATGGCAAACATTCTATTCTTGAAGCAAATAATGTCTTTTTTCTCTTTCTACTTAAGAAGAATCCAACAAAACTTTTATAATTTAGGCCTATCAAGTACGATATCTATCCTATTAACCTTAAGTTTCCATTATTAGTACCATACTTCAAATGGCTAATAATTGCATCATACATGTCTGTTGCAGTAACTGCATCTCTGGCATCAAAAATCTAAACATTAAAAGACGGTTATAGCAAATAACTCGGGTGTCTCATTAGCTTTACTTTAATTATTAATTGTAGATAGTAAAGGTCCAAATCATCAACAGCATCCAACATGCAGATCTTAACATCATATCTTGCTAATATCAATAATATGAATCGATGATGCTAGCCTAGTAACATTAAATTTATAGCTGTGGTCTCTAATCTAGATTTCGACTAGATAAATTGGTATCTGAATCTATTCTGTCGGTTTATTATCTTTATAATAATTTTTGTAATGTTTCTAATATCTATGGTATGCTTACCTTCAGTCTCAACTGTCAACCTAAAGAATTACTTGTATTGGTAAGAAAATACTCACGTGTAAATTGGACCACTGAATTCGGCCAATGCACCTGGAAGCATTACGCCAAGATAACCGAGCACCATATGTTAATTCTTGTTCAGTTAGGTCGTATAAGCCCTTTGCCTGAATTTCTTCGATAACATCAGCTTTGCGTTTCAGATGGGCTTCACTACCTTCCCTAAAGAATGAAGAAATGGAGATGGAGTTTAAATTAAGTTAATATATGCAATGCTTACTATTACGCGAAGTCATATTGTCTATCCATATGTACTCTTATTAGCTAATTTTGCGTAAATAAAATCAGTAAGGTGCATAGGACCATTGTATTATAGAAGAAAGCGAAGAATACTAGGTCCAATATTTGCCTCGACTTATAAAACAAGCCATGAATTAAAAATTCAAGCCCTTAAAATAACAGTGATCGTAAACAGAGGAACAAGTTGATGCATGATCTTTTATAACTAGAAAGATTGCTAGAAATAAGCTGTGATTTATACAATAGATGATTGATGTAAATCTATCTCACTAGAATATAAGCGCCGATTACTTTCGTATAGAGGCATAATATTCTTGTAGGAATTCTGTTGCCTCCTTAATAACTAATTCCTTGGGTTTCAGACCATTTTCTCGCTTTATTTTTTCGGGAATTTGCATTAGTGATCCTAAACATCTTTTACCAGTACAGCTCGGAATCTACACAAAAACAAAATTTATGCTGGTAATATAGATCGAAATATCTCTTAAGCTGTAGTATAGCGTAGTCATGCGAATTAATTACTCTTGCCGTAGTGATACAAATTTAAATAATAAGATCTGTCAGCTCTTCTCAAGCTGAAGAAAGATAGAATGACAATACTACGACCAAAGTTGTGCTAAAAATGTCACAAAATGTATTTGAAACTTTCATGCATCTAAGAATTACCTATCAAAGATAGTATTGAATAATGACAATATTAAAACTAGAGATGCAATGAGAATAACATTAACTCTTGCGTTATTATCATTATTAAAGTCTAGGAAACTCCTAGTTCTTGCCATAATACGCTGATGTCCTTAAGTCTTATTTACCGAAAAGATAATTATTGCCTTTTTATTGAGTACTAACTCATTCGTAAGTCCAAATTTTTAAGTATATTGTCATATACTCATCCGTATTAATAAAAAAAATATTTATTAGTTTACGTAGTTCGTATGTAGTAGATTACTATTTAGAACTTTTTAAATCATTATAAATCCGGTATCTGCTACAGAAGTATAAAATTATAATCAAAATAAATCAAATTTGATGAGATACTAACTGTAGTTGCTCGCTGATGAAAGGTGTCGGTGGTTTGCTCAGTTGTTATTAAATTTTGTAAACGCATGAAGGTTTGTCCTTCCAAATTAGGCACTGCAGATTGGCTATCCATATCTAAGATCTTATATCATTCAAAAAGAAATAATTTAGTGATACAAATAAGAAGTATTTTAATAATATTAGAAGACAGCGTATGCAGTATAATACCATTAAAAGTGATTTTCATCAATCTATTGAACTATAGTATAGCAAACTGCATCAATTACTCCGTGAGGTTGTAAATATGTTTTATACTAGGTATGTATCGTTAAATTAAGAAGTTAATGATATTTGCTACGAATCAGACAATCATTATTTGTCTACTACATAAATTTAGAATCATCTTATTAAAGAATTTTAATTTAATTACAAAAGAATTGAATACCAATAATAACTAGTTTACTATCAACTGCCGACGGCAGATATTGCTTACATTGCGTAGAATTTATTATATTACTTGCACTTTGAACTTTCAAAGATGTAAAAAAATTATAATAATAACAGCAGAGATACATGGCATACGTTAGTATAGCAAGCATCTTTTTGATACTAGACCTAAATTTCTTATTTTAATATGGGAATTCGGGACTGTGTATCTCTAATGTTTTCGTTTGATATCAAAAAATTTTCTTAAGTACCTCAGGAATATTTATTTTATATTTTTCTCGAACAGTGTGCTGCAAGGAGCTTAAGTAAACAACTAAGCAGTGATGTTAATTTCAGAGCTATAAATTCATGTAGTGTAACTAAGTTTTACTGGACTCATTGAAGACCGTCAAATCTTCCAATTCTTATTGATATCCATCCTTTTCTAAATGATTTTACTTATAAGAAGTTGATATTCTTGTCCAATCATGTGACTAGCTAGCACTAATGAATCAAAATCTACTTTTATCAGCATTATTCTTCACTGAATTAGAGTTTCAAAGTACATCTTATTAATTAAAACCAGGCAACAGGTACACTTGGTAAGAAAATATATAAAGACCTTAAACTTTAAAGGATCGCAAAGAAAAATTATATTAATCATACTGCTTTCCACGCTATCCTATTCTACAACTTGTATTTATATCTAATCTATTAATACATTTAAATATTTAATGCATTCGTATAATGCAATGAAATAGGATATAATATACAGAAATCATATTTCTTTAATAACGCAGTAGATAAAGTTTGCTTTTAAATCAGACTAAACAAATATTGCTCATACATTACTAAGTAAATATAAAAAATGTCGATATTTGCTTACGTTCACAACCAAAGGAAAATTGCAAATAGGACCGAAATAAAAGTAACGATTCACCCTATCCTCTTCAATCAGGAGAAGCCAACGATTAGGCGACAAATGGTACCTGATCATTCGCTAATGCTAACCCCTGAGTAAAAATTTGATCCATAAGTTCACTTAATTCAATTATACAGCATTCTAAAAGATATTTGTAGCAGCCCATATTGGTTTCATGAATGCCAAGTACTATCTTCAAAGCTAAAGCATTGGTATTATAATTCCATGCATCATATACTCCTTATTATCCTTCAGACAAATACTCAAGAGCACTATATACAAGTTTCCAGATTTAGCTGAGGTGTCTTGCAAGTTTTAAGTAGAAATCCATTCAGTATGATGTAATAGTTAATCGAATTTACAAAGAATAACAACTTACACGAATCATAACAATTTTTCTCGATGAAAATCACAAATGCCTGTGGTTACCCGTAAAATATAATATTTGGCCTCAGATAATTAAATTATTACATCGTTATGCAGTGGTAATTAAAGATATTGATCTATATCCGTCAAGTTATTAATGCTATTGATATAGCAATGATTAATTTAAATTAATTTTCCGAAAACGTATGCTACCGTTCGTGAGCAACTACAAGAAAAAGGATACATCAGCCAATTAAAGACATATCATCCAGATATCCAAAATATGTATGATTAAAATTATTCATTTAACTTATGATTAATGACAAACGTACGTATTTAGTAATGAAAATGTACAGGTAATAGAGATATGCCGTATGTGCTTTTTATTGAATTATTCTGGAGATGCGTATATACCCAGATTTAACGGTTATTATTCTATATATTGGATGTATGGTGGAAATAACTGTTACATACCAATAAATTGGGAGTTGCTATTTACAATAGTTATTAAATTACAGTATTCCTAACGTGCGCAGAAATCAAAATTTAAAGGTAAAAAATGATTTAGGTTTACCTTTATAAACGCATTCACTTCAATTTTATTCTATTGATGCTATATTATCAATTGACTATCAAAATTTTTCATGAGTTCCAATATTAGCAATGAAATGCGGATGTTATTCTCTGGTTGCTATCATCATTTGCATAAATAGTTTTATTAGCTTCTTATTGATGCTAACTAAATTACTAAAGTAGGAAGGTAAAGCAGCTATTTCGAAGCCATAAATTTTTAAAATCGTCGCATATATGCCTTCTAATATTAAACTTTCTCTTCCATCCGAAATATTTTACGATTAGCTTGAGCGCATTCATGCACACCAAGCACACTATACAACGATTGTTAATAATTAATCATATATGATAAAGTCTTAATATTTCTACCTTCAGTTATAATAAATTAAAAGGCTGCTATAGTAAGGTACCAAATCTTTAATGTCATTCAAATGCATGAAGTATTTAAAAAAAATAGTATGCGACGATCTGTTCATGCTACATAGAACAAGCTACGTGAGAGCCCAATTATCAACATATTGACTATTTAGCAGACGCTACTAGCAGAACATAAGCTCTCTATTTCAAGTATTTCTATCGTAAAATTTCTATTTGTTAATTAAATTAAAAACTGAAATTAGAATAAATTAAAATACTTATAAAACATTGCTCGTAAGCATCCCCTGCACGGTAAATTTAATACACGCCAAACAGCTAAAAAGATACTAGTTTAGGATAATTATATAATAGATGATATGCTAAGAAGGCGATGCTTCTATATCAAGGATACTGTAGTTATAATACAGCTATGAAGACAGAAATGTACCGTTAATAAGAATACAAATCTGCCTTCAACTGGAATAGAGTTAGAAGTTTTTTGGTAATTTTATTCATACTCTATCGTAGAAGTGGATTGTGGTCTGTTCAAATAGAAAGGCGCAAAAAAATTTGGGTCAGGGTGCTTAAATCAGAAGTATTATTGATCTTATTTTAATAAAATAAATTTATATATATCATATATCGGATGCAACCTGTTACATCTTTTGTCGTATAAATTTATGTAGCTTAAGCGGAGGTTAGCGATAAATAAACTGGAAGTAGCATATTGTATTACGGTGTGAATTACTAAAGGCAGATTACCGCAGATCATTAAGCATCTCTGCTCGTGGTTTTACAGCCATACCCAACTGCAGAATATAGCCCATGCATCTACGAAAACCAATACTTGCAAACAGCTAAGATAGATTGTAAACTGATATTAGTAACTACATAAAGTTAATAACGTTATTAAAAAAATAAATAATTTCTTATACTTGCATAGATGAATGTTTATTTTTATATAACTTATAAAATTTCGTATTTTAATCTAAATTTGGAAACAAATCAAGCATTTATCATCTGCAGATTTTATCACAATTTATCAAAGTCAAAACTATCGATTATCAAATGCATTAGTTTCTAGCAATATCTGATATCTTCTCCAATTCTAACGTTGTTTTTTATTTAGCTTTACTTTAAAAATATAATTAAAATTCGTCTCCATTGGAGCAATAAAAGTATATAAGCTGCATTTCCTGATTGTCGAACACAATTATCTACAGCAGATCCTGCTACATGAAACGACTTTATTCAGTTTCGAATAAAGTGGAAATTTCATATTTTTTTCTACTTTTAATATATTAATCACCCACATACTGTAAATAATAAATAAATCTTCATCTTTACAGCATTAAATTCAAGTAATATCCTCTCACTTACTCATTGCGACTAGAAATTAATCCCAAAATTACGAAACCTAAACTAGAGACTTAAATCTAGTAGTTTTCACCATTTTAACAGCAATTGATGAAGATAATGACTTTTTGCTCATTTTTGCCATCAAAATGACTATCACACGAAGTCAAATCTATTCTTTATCGTCTATAACTCGAGGGTTAGATTGCCCATCGACGGTTAGGTCTTCATTTATATTATCATAAATAAGTTGTCCCTTATTTAATGGACAATCAGGAATACTTAATGTTTTCATAGGCAATGATGAAGATTGATCGTGTTTATCCTCAATTGTAGCTGGAGCTTCTATTACTGCCGAATCTGAATACATAAATGGCCTTGCATCAGATGTAGATATATTAATGGTTACTTTAGCAGTTTCCACATTGTGACTGCAGCAAAATGAAATAAATAAACAGTAAATTAATTTTGTTGCATTTTAAAGGCATTCGAACATATCTCATATAACACGACATTGAAGCGATTTTTTCAAATGAACAATATTTTGCAGCAAATGAATAAAATTTAGGAACACTTTTAAAGGTTATTTGTAATTTGATATATAAATTGTTGAGTGCTATTCTTTACCTAACAGTTTCCCGACTAATTTTTGGTCTTTTAAGACGATTCTTATACTTTCTGTAAGCCTCTCTAACCTGTAACATTAATCATTTAGAAATTTTTGATATAAAAGTAAAGATAGCAAAAGGGTAGATAGCTAGAGCTGCATCTAGATTGAAAGCTAAAATCAGCTTTAATTTTAATTTTAAATAAAATATTGGGTATAGCATCCTACGTAACAAACTTAAATTAGCTACATAAAATAGAGTGCGCTTAATATAGTCAGCTTTTAATAAAGAGTCAATCAAATTATGAGGATATTTCCTTTATGAGAAATATTGTAAGTATTTCTTATTGCCAATAGGCAGCAAAGTAAAGGCTACTTATTTTAGAAAACTTCTCGCCAATTTGAATAACTCCCAGTGAATGAAATGCCTACCTTTCGATTATATAAACAGTACATGCCAAAGATATATAGTCCCTAGTTATGTTTTATTATGTAGGATATAATAGAAACAAAACGATCCTGATCAATATCTTTTTATAATAAAGAGTACATATATTGAAGGTAATGATTGCTATTAACTAATTTCCATTACCTGTGACGAATTCAAAATAGCAAATCCATATTGTACAAAGAGACTGTCAGTCCACATTAAAATACAGCCAAAAGACCAAGTTAAGCCCAAGATAGGAGCAAGAACGCTTAATCCTCTTAACGTAACCCTAATGCAGATTGATATATCAAGTTCAACCTTCCTGCAATTTTTCGAAATTATGCTAGCACAAAATGATTCATGAAATCAATATCCAACTTCGCTTTAAGTAAATCACTCGCTTGCTGTGACACTCTTTTAGTATTCAACATGGTATGAATGGCCACAACGCAAAAAATAAGATTGATCTAGTTAATAATTTAAAGTTACGTTCAATATATAATAAGAATATGCGTAAAAAATTAAGCGAAATTTTTAACCCATTTTAACAGGCTATATGAATTATAAACAAGAATTTAAGCGATACAAACTTGATCAAGAAATATCATATCTTACTGTAAAAACAAGTGCTAATGGAACGACAAAGGCTAAAATAATCCAATTTCTTCCAGATATCCAACACCTGTAGCAGTGCAGAAAATCATAAAGGAATCAGTTAATTATATTCGTACAATCCAATTTGTATGATGTAAAATTACGGAAATAAAATATAAATTATTACTACTACTGTACTGTAGACTTATATTTCTATACCCTTGTGAACTTAAATAAAATTTAATTCCTTTTATACCACAAACGATTGCTGCGGTTGTGCCAGATATTAGAGCTGGAATTCCTGCATAATTAAACAAAAAACAATTCAAGTTTTAGAGAAAGACCCAATATCCATTTCCTTGATTTATTTTAATAATAAATTTAGCGCTACCAACCTAAAGACGCTGAGTAATAGTAAAGGAAATTTTCCCGAACATCAAAGACTTTTACAAGGAAGAGGTAGATATGAATGCCTTCCATTAACATCCACATGAATGAGGTTAAAAGTGAAAAGTGCAGCAAGCTTGCTAATGTGGTGCATAGAACCTATCAAATATGGGTAGAAAACGATAGTATCAATACATAATTACTAGTTGATAAATTCTACTTTATTTGGTTTTTCAGATAAATTAGTCTTGTAATCTATAATTAAAGAATGTGCAATTTGCTGTCTAGCTACCGGTTGTACAGACAAAAATTTTAAATACTCGATTACTAGGTAAAGAATAAATCATCATTTCAAAAGATCAAATTTCAATGAATGAGACTTTATAAGACACACTTTCTAAGCATTATTAATAATAATAGCAAGATTCCAATTAAGTGCTAAGCGCTTTTAAGCGCACGCTTAGTGAATTAATTATCGAATTATGAAGATGGATAAAAGAGGTATAGATTAACTCATATGAGCAACTCTAACAATATTTGTCAATTTAAAAAATTTTCAAATACTGTATAACCACTTCAAATATTAATTCTCTTTTCTAAACGTTGAATCCTCTTGAATGAGATTTATAAGACATACTGTCTAATTAATATTTATAATAACCATTTGCAATTGGATTCTAAAAGATGCAGAAATCTAGATTGACCTATATGGGAATTTTAGCATTATACGATAATTTTAGAATCTTAATTTTAAACTTTAATAGGATTCAATTAGTAAAGTTAAATGAAGCTGATGGACTAATAAAATGTATATATATATATATATGCAAAAGTAATGGGTCATCGAGTATCGGTAAACAAATCAGTACAAATCAAAGTGGCTTTATTAAAAAAGAATAAATCAGAAGCTGAAATTACCATTACACTTTTAGCTAGATCGATCAAGATCATAATTAGGTTGGATACCAACAACCATGAGAACAGATTTAAGTGAATTTTGTTAGTAGAATTTTTTAAATATCTATAACAAGATAAAAAATCCAATACTAAATCAGTAATTACACTACAATCGAATGGCATCTAATTGACTATATTAAGGTAATTTATTTCTAACTTTATAACTAACTTTCCATATGTCAACTCAATAAAATTATGCATCTACATATACATTAAACTAGAATTAATTTACTTCCACAAAATGGCATAAGCTGCTATAGTCAAAGCTAAGCCAATAACCGATAAGCCACAGCCAATATACGTAATAATTTCTAGAGATCGACTTACAGAAGCACTAAGCTAGAAGACAACAAATAGCAAATTTTTGTTGAATAATTTTTTAGCTTCTGGTATACAATATTCAACTTAACACAATAGCCAATTTCTATTTATAAAAATGCAATAGAGACAGCTGTAAGCTGTATAAGCTGTGTCTCTAAACCATGGCAATATTTAATAGTAAATGTAAAATCTCAGCTACTTGTTTCATATCTTTGAAGCACTTTTAATCTTGAGAGATTTTAGCAATCAAATAATGGCTTGCTATTAAAATACAAATTATATTCAAACGCTTACATACATCCACCGCAGAACTGTATATTATATAAGGTATATCCGTAAATGACGGCAATATACGTATAGTAAATGTGAAACCTCAGCTATTGATTCTACTTGTCAACATTTCAATACATTTCTAAAGTGCCCGGGCAGTTTGCAAAATGACCGACTTCGCATACGGTCACGTTCAATTCTACCAAACGACTAGCTGACATTATTTAAAATATGTCGAAAGCGCTTAATGTATTAAATGCACATCAACTTCGAAATACTCGTACTAGTTTGTGATTAGGTATTAAAAAAAATATGAGGATGCTTTTGCAATACGTATTCCGTGTCCTCGTTCATCAAGACCAGGCTAAATTAATTTACCTTATTCTCCGATAATCTCATCAACACGGCGAAATTGGTTAAATGGTCGCATTCACAAACTACAAAGGTTTCATTAGAATATGTTGAATAGCACCCTTGACTAGACCAAGCGCCACCTAGATGCGTCCTGTCCAGTTAACGATAAGATTTATGTTCTACATCCATCTGTTACATTAATCAATGTGATATTTTGCTATCTAAGCCGCTAAAATTTCTTCAAATATGTGAATTAATTATCGTTTACTTACTCAATAGAAAAATCCCAGAAAGCACAGGTAAAGTTATTGCTCGCAGAATACATACGGCGATCGTATTTCAACTAACAAAATGAAAAAACAAGAAAAAATTCCATAAGAATAAAGGTGTAATGTTTTATAACAGATAGCATCAATATTATAAAGCATCATAGTGAGTAATAGAGCATAGGTTATCATTAATTTTGTAAGCAGATATTCTAAGTTCGTATACGTTATCTGCTGCAGTTTTCCGGAGTATGTACTTCAAAGGTTCATTTAGATTCTGTTTAAGAGGCGGATATAATGATGTCGAAATAATTTTTGTTTGTGGAATCCATGAACCAAACGATGACTGAGGATTTAAATAACTAAAAATTAAAAATCTTTACTTATATGATTACAGAAATCATTTGACACGAATTTAACTTTTATTAATAAAGTGAAATATTCCATTCCACTTTAGAATTATATGAGTAATGTACTACATGACTAACCGATTAAATTTCCCAAAAAAATACCTTATACTCTGAGAAACATCGTTTGGTATGATGTCGTTGAGAGTTTTATAAATGATGCTTACGGCTTTAACTTTGGTTGATGATTTATAGCCTAGAGTAGTATGTCACGAATAATCTGCATCAATACTGAAGTCATAGTATTTACCATAATTATGATCCCATAATATAATTATTGCTTATCGATCTCTAAGTGTACCCAAAAAGGCACTTGGTGGAAGTATAATTAGATTGTCCTGCAACCAGTCTGCTGTTTTATTTATAGGCAAGGCAGTACCATTAGGATAAATACTGTTAATCGTACTGGGAAACTGGTAAGCTTGCTGCGTATCTTGAAAGATTTGATTAATTTCGACAACTAGGCAAAAGACGTTACACATATTTAATTTAGGTTTTAGTACACCGTATGAAGCATTAAAAATGGATCAAGAAACTGAACGTAGCCTGTCATTAGTAAAAAATCAACCTATATTGCCAGTAGTGACGATAACAGAGTCATTATCTAAGCCCACTCGACTGCAATAGTTGTCAAGAATTTGATTTAATTTTGTAGTCCCGGATTCCGTCTATAGAAAGATCAATCTATTTAAAATCTGTTATGATCGATATTAGATCATTTATCTTTGCCACTAAGGCATTGAAAACCTAGCTATAAGTAATAGAATTATTAGTCTATAGTATACCTGCTGTATGGCTAACCACTGGTTCCTATTTTTAATCTCCATTAAATTACTTCCGGTTTTTATAAATTCCTTGAAAAGCATTATAGTTGAATCTCGTTATGGAATTAATGAATCCAATACACTGCAATTACTATTATAAAGACTTCGTTTATATACTTGATCAATATATCTAAACTAGTAGATTAAAAGTACGGTAGGCAAATATGAATTATGTTCGCAGACCTGCTATTGAAAATGTATGATGTTGAGTGCTCTTAAAAAAAGGAATTTTGGGCCAGAATAAAATTATCTACATATTGTTCTCATACTGCATTACCAATATTTAAAAACATCGATAACAAAATATGAACTATTTTCTCTGACAGTTTGTGATATATACCGATCACGAAATTCCAAATTTTAGAAAAATAAGGGCTATATTGAATCTTATACAAAGATTAACTACACACAGCTCCACTCTAACCGAATACTACTACTAAAGACTTCTACAAGGAACTAACAGAATAATCTAAAGTTGCATGCTTTTATATTTTTCGTAGCATTCGCAGCTATAATCCGCATGGCAACCTTTTACCTTATTTTACACATAATAAAATTATTCTTAGTAACACTATTCTACCGCGGACCATCATTAATCTGATATGGATACGACTACAGTATTTACGCAGACATTATTCTCTTCAGCCAAAGTATAATGAATTAACCATATCCTAATATATGATTTACAGTTCTATTTTTACCTATAACCTTATTAGTAACTCAACACCTTACTCTCTATAGTCATCTATAGTCTAGCATAGAGTCTATACCACTACAGTCTATAGTTATGACTACCAAATATCTCTTAGGATAAATATAGAAGTTACGCTACCGTACATTATACTAAACATGGCTAACAGTCTACAATCACAATACTTAATTACATTGCACAGTTTAACTCCAATCTAGACATAAGTAACGAACTACTTCACAACAATCAAGACAACGATAAAAGCTTTTATGTCTTACTGAAGAAGCACTTACGTAAAGATCGACCATTTGAATAGACAGCTCATTACTAATACTAGCCACTTTTTCCATGACTTTATTAGCTGCCAAAATATCACCGCCTAGTAAACTTTCATTGTTAGCAACATCAGTAATTGTTTGCAGTGTAATCAAAACAGAGGTAGCATTATTATTCGTCGCATTTAAATTGGATGCCTGCAAAAACGATAATTCGTTGTAGTGTATAGAAATTTATGATTTGATTTGTTCTATCAGCATTATTTTAAATTATTAAATTAAAATTTACCTCTTTACTTAAATCATTAAAATTCTTGCTGACACACTGAACAGTAGACACTGCTTCCCAAATTGCCCGATTTTCCATTTCACGATACCTGCAAGCTCGGCTAACCTTTCCTACCAAATAATAATTTTGGTTAGCAGTTGTATTCATAAATTAAGAAGGAAAATAATAAGGCAAACATTTAAATTGCTCTCTTCAATAAGTCTCCGACACTACTATTTGCCATAAACCAGCCATGCTAAGTTGCTTCTATCGGATTAAAATTTACCTGTTGCACTTTGTGGGCATGGCAGGTATGCTATAAAACCTGCAACTGTCTCCGGCCATGTGTATCCATCAAATAATTCACTGTGGCAGGTGGATGGATGATTATCAGATGAAAATACAACAACAGTATGTGCTTTATCATGAATGCCATCGTCCCCATTATAACTGCATCTAAAAACGGTTTGATAGGGCTGATTTGATATTGGACTAAAGTTAGTTATGACTAGCCGCGATCGAATTCCGTTAGACTGAGATACGGTGATATTTCGTTGTTCTTTATATGAAATAAAGATAGTGGTTGCTTATAAATTTAGGATATTAAAGAATCTTAATAACTGTAAAACTTTAGCAAAATATCCGAAATCTACAGCTAACCAGGCAATAGTTCTTGTCCGTCATGAGACCAGCTAAAGCTTTCTGTTTTGTTAGCCTTGCCATATGTATAAGTTGCAAAACAATCTAATTGCAGTGAGCTACCTTCAATAACGGCACCAGGTCCAATAATGGATATAGAATAAACTGCTTTTCTCTTCAAGGAGCCAGTTAAGGTAATACTTTGACCTAAAGTGGACAATTTGCACTCATATTGGCCGTAGCTATCAAAAGCAGCATCGTGAAAGAGGGTTAATGTTGTCGAAGTTTTATCTGAATTAATAGCAATGGAGAATGATCCCGACTGGAGATAGGGTGGATCACTTTCAGACATAGCGTAACCTAAAATTTGGCCATCTTTAATCCAAGTAAATATAGTCCCATTCAAGACTGGTACGCCAGTATATCCACAGGCTAGAGAATTTGTAGAACGCTTAGATATTTCTATTACTTTATTTTTTACATCGTTCGTACTTGTTGAACCATGTTGAGATACTTGTGATAGATTCAACTGGACGGAATTGTTGTCAAGATCTGCTCAATATGCAAATAATAAAATAATAATGTCGAATCAAGAAAGTAAATGACTTCAAAATGAATTTATAACCACTTACGTAATGAGTATCCTAGCTGAAATCCATTATAAGACATATTAGGGCTAGTTGGAGAACTATAAAAGGTAACATGCAAATATCGACTTTGATTATATACGATATTAGGAAATGTTTGGCCACAATATCGTGTTGCCATTCCCGATATTATCGTTGAAAATTCAAATGATACATAGTCTGTACAATTTTGTGATGATGTATCTTTTGGTAATAAGTCAAATGCAGTTATATTGGCAATTATTGAATAACCAACACTTGCAATTAGTGACCAAGTGACTCGCTGGTTGTTAGCATAAGGCTGAGGAAAATTTGCTGAAGATATGAAACCGGCAGTGGCTGGATTACGATAAAGGACGGTTGATTCTATTGAAGTATATCAATATGTAACGAAGAAAATATTTTAATTTTCAATCTAAAAATATTAGATACAACATTTGGTAGCAAGTAAAAGAAATAGAAGAGTTAGTATGACCCATACAGCAAATAACTATGTAAATAAGTGTACGTGGCATTAAGTAAATCAATTGCTGATATGCCTACCTGCTAAACCCAAGCACAAAGCCTTGCCATATAAAGTCGTAAGCAAAAGGGAAAAGTAAACGTAAGTACTTCAGATAGAAATAGTCAATGTTAAGTGTAGTATTTACTGATTTTATCTCAATTATTTTTATCCTTTCCCGGTAGTGAACTCTTATAAGTTATATCAAACGACGTGAAATAGACTATTTATGCCGTTATTATAATTTACCACAGATAGAGCAGCAAATATAATTAAGGAAGAATTGCATAGATATCGCCGAGACATCATAAGTATGAGCTTCTCAAACACCGTTTTAAGGATAAGGAATAAATTCGAATGTAATATTGTTGCGATATTTATAAGTTTCTTAATATTTGTGCTGCTTATAAAGACATTATTCTTAGCAATTAAGCAAAACCATTTAATAGGCAGCATGTTAAACTAATCTAAATAAACATATTTCACAATTGCTGGTATTTATGAACACCAATTCTACGTCATAATAAATAAATTGTAACAACGATTATTTGTTGCAGTAAAATGATAGATCTAACCTAACATTAGCTATTATAATCAGTTAAAAATTTGGTCGCATTTACATCGGATAAATTGAATCCCAAATTAAAGCGTATGCTGTTATTATTGTATTTCGCTTTGATTGATGGCTAATCACAATTCATATCATAAATACCATATGGTTTATTTAATTCGCTAAAGCAATCTCAAACATGTTAGAATATCTTTCATTGTTACTTAAATCAATGTAATTACTATTTCTCTCACATAAGCTATATAACATATAAGATTGAATTTCACGATTTATTTTATTCTACTAACATTAAAATTGTATTTTAAATTCATCTACAAGGTTGAGTATTTTCTATCGTACGATTTTTTTAAACCTGATATGAGCATATATTATAAAAGAACCTACAATTGAATACTGCGATACTTGCATCTCTCCTAGGTATTTATTAGAATGATAATCCATGTAGTGTACTAATATTTGTAATATCTAAATTTAGCCTTTCTTTAAGACATTATACGATAGGCTTTAATAACATAAAGATAATTGAACTTACTAAATTATACTGTATAAGAAAAATGTATTTATAAATTATCTATTTGGATAATGTTTAATACAACAGAGCTTTATCTGTTTTCAATAAGATCATTAATGACTGAAGATTAAAAAGCGTTAATTTCATTAGAAATAACTATGCTCTAATCGATATTGTATTCAAATAAAAATCTATCATAAAACAAGCGACCGAGTTGATCATGAACATCAACATCTTGCGGTAGTAATCCTCATATTGGGCTATGATTGTAAGTATAAGAAAATTTCTATGATCTGTGCTGCTTTCTAATTAGCATTGATGCAAGAGTGAATTCAGAATGAAAATCATAGCGTAGATAAAGGCAATCCCATTCCACTCTTTAGTGCTTTTTATTGAGTATTAAAAACAGTAATATTATATCGGGTCAATACAATTTATTAGATAGTTTATGAGGTACTATGATAATCGATTAGATCATATTTCTAACTTTTAGACAATCAAAAAAGTATTTAAAAAATTTAACCTTTATTAGACAGTGTCTGCGCATTTCCATGTGATGATAGTACTTTAAAGCTTAGCTAAAAATCAATTTTTCCTGATTGGCTTCCAGAAGCATGTATAAAATTTCTTGCGCGCTTCTCAGCTGGCAACTTTTAAGAGTAAACCATACTGATTAATCTATTGAACTAACAGAAAATTAAAATTTCTAATCCAACTACTGCGTTGGGCTACATCAATGCACATAGCACGTGATTAAAATTAGACAAGGAAATTACTGCACGGTATCTAGCTTCCAAGAAAATTGATGGAAAATCATCAACAACTATATAATGTATTTGTGTAATTATACCTATTCCGAGCGATATTGGCTACAAAATGAACGATGCTGTCGACTATAAAGTAGTAAATACTGTAAAACTTCATCGTCAGATATTGAAGTATTGATATCCAATTGAAATTGAAGCGCTAAAAATGAAATTACTATCGAAAGAGAGAACGTAATATCGGATGTAGAATCAAGAAAGGCAAGACCAGAGTCTACACGATATAGAATGAATAATGCTACTGTGAGGATAACACATACAAAAGTAATGAATAAAATTTTGCAGAAAATGTAGAAAGATTGTTCTTCGCTACGAAATATTTTATCTTCTATAAATTGACATAGATCATCACGTATGGCCAGGTGCTTAACTTGATCGGCAGAATCGTAATCATAATATAAAGGATCTTCAAGTTGACCGATATCTTCTAGACTCGGATTGGAGTATTGTGCAATTTGACGATCAAGTTGTGGTTTTAATTCTTTTAGTTTTGATATTGGTAGCGCTCTAAGCTTTTCATATTTTTTTAAGTAAATTTGAAAAGTAAGAAAATAAGAAGTAAGTAATATCAACGGTTTAGAAAGATAACTCGCATACACGACTAAAAATGTTCCGGTGACGATAAACATTTCTATAATCGACTCAATAAGGTAGAATATGGCGAAAAGAGTCAATGCATAAGGTAAGTAGAATATAGTTTTCGCTATAAAAATGACAATTTTTTTTATCTGATTTTTAATTTTAATAATACACATCAGCAGATTTGTAAAAAAGCGAAAGACACAATTAGGATTAGAGCCAAGGTTAGTGCAAGAGTTCATATTTGAATCACTAGAATTGCCATTAAGTCTATGAGGGTCGTGTCTAGCGTTGTTACTAGACCTGTTGATTTTGGATATTCGGCAAATGTTGAAGATATGGAAGAAAGTTATTATATACTTATGAAAAAAAATCCAAGCTTTATTTTTCAATTTTGACCTAAAATCACCCTCTATAGTGGGAAAGTGATATGGTTGCATTGACAACTTGATCAGGCTATCATCTTCATTATCCAATATTTCTTTCAGACAAGGAAGCAAATGTACAATAGAAAGAAAAAAGTAACATACGCTAAGTCCTATCAACATTTCAGGAAAAAGTGGAGACCAAGGCCATTTTCTTGGATGCACAAGTAAGACTGCATAAATCGGGTTGGCTCGATAATGCCGAAGCAATAGAGCCAAGCTAACAACCACAGCATTTAATAAATTACGACGAAAATCGCACAAAAATAGACAAACGGTTGCACAATATATTCCATCTGGAGAGTAATTGATTTTTCTTTGATAATAGCTGTTGGCTTCCGTTTCCAAAGAAGTGTTGGTTAGTATACGCATTCTTTTGCGGTTTATTTCTATTCTAGAACTAAGATGATACGAAGATACGAGCAAACAAATTAATTATTACTTGGAATAGAAGCTAGTACTTATAGAATGAAAATCATAATATCATTCGATTCCATTTTTAACGCAATCAGTATCAAAATAAATGACAATAAGCTACAATCTCTACTATCAGCATTATTCTAACTACATATTTAGACTATCATCATAATCCTGTTTTAGCTAACATGTTATTAAATCCTATTAAGCAAATTAAATGTATATCGACTATTCATAGCAACTCCGGAGTTAGCAAGTAATCTCCCGTAACGAATTTATTACACTGTTATTGATGCAATTATTTGATGGAGATGGAAACTTTATCGAGAAATTGACTTTTAACCATGAACACAAGGTTCGTGGAAGACTACCATTATTAACCTACTAGTAACGTAAAGTATTGAAGCAAATCGATCACGTAAGATCATAGTGTAGTAAAAGGACTAAAAGTAGAGTCCTTTGTAGTTTTTAGTATGTAATTAGTATTATTTTACTATACAAAATACCTACAAAGTGATAGTGTCTTTAAGTTTTACCCTGCCAAATCATCATGTCGCCATCTTTTCTTCTTCATTATTTTACAAGGTATTATATAGATTACTATAGAAGTAGCCCTATAGAGCAAATGCCTAATCTAAACAAAGGGCGTTTGATCGTCTATTCAAATTGCAAAGAAATTTGACTTAGTAGCAAAACCCTATCCTTAGAGAAAGGGGATTTATAACATGACGATAAAGTACTGTAATGTAGTCTATACTCGTACAGTTACAGTACAATCTGACGCTAAAACATCAACTGTCAATACTCGCGAATACTAAGCAATACTAATGTCAGAAAAGTAGTCGTAGTAGTCATATAAATTTTTTTGATAAGCGATTACTGTGATCTTCATAAAAAGCGAATTTTTCCGGATTTGTGTCCGATATAGTTTTCGGATTCTGGGACCGGTCGGGTTTGTGTCCGATATAATTTTCCTGTTTTGGAACCGGTCGGGTTTATTTTTAATTTATGTCTGAATTATAATTTTTCTGTTTTAATTTTTGGATTTTTGTTCATGAAAAATATCGTAAGAGTTAATTTTTGAGATTTGGACTTTTTGTTATGAATTTGAAACTTTGGAATTTTATGACGTGACTTGAAGTCACATTAGGAGATTTAGTGAGGAAAAGAGAAAATAAGATGGAAATTGGCAGAAGGTTGTGTTGATTGTTAGGTAGTTAGAGTGTTGTTTTTATGACTAAATCTTGATGTTTAAAGGTTGATTTCTAGACTTTTATAGTGTATTAATGATAGGAATTATGTTAGAAATGAAGTTTTATGTATTTTTATAGTTAGCTTGTTACTTTTATAGTGTTTTGTAAGGGAATCGTAGGGTAAATTGTGTCTGAACTTTGAATGATTTTTGTTTTCTTAAATGGTGCAAAGTAGTTTTCTAAAACGGATCTTAAGAGCGATTGGTTAGCAAATGTTTAGTTTTAAATACCTCTGACGGCTCTACGGAGCCTATAAATGATAGTGCAATTAGAAAATTTAGAGAGAGAGTAGAAGAAGATTTTATTTGAAGAACTTGTTGAATTTAAAAGGCCTTCGGGGTCGAATTGTCGTAAGTTAAAACGTTCTTCTTTTTGAAAGGTTGTTTGGTCGTTGACAGTTTTTAAGTCTGTCATTTATTTTAATAATACTTAAAGCTAAGTATTTGTAAGGTTGTTCGGTTTATACTTCTCTCCATTTTGTTTTAAAATAAATTGTTGTTCGGTTATTTCCCCAAATTTTATTTGGTGTCAAAGTATTAGCGTTAAGTCGACTGGAGTGCAACGAAAGTAGAATCAAAGTTTGTTAAAGTTTCGTAGCTTGATCTCTACACTTTTCATTTCATTACAATAGATGCTATAAAAAAACGATGTAATGATGCATGGACTACGAAGATAAAATAAAAAGTTGTAATATCAGTGGATTCAGTAATGAAATGTTTAATAATTACATAATTTTCCTAAGAATGGTGTTTCTAATTTAAATAATAAGGTGGGGAAATTGCGTTACAATTCAATTGTCTTCTAATAGCTCATTATTAATTATTTAGATGCAATATCATCGAACTGGAAAGGCTAGGCCTAATAAATATTGGCGAACTTAATTTGGAGATACATTTTAATATTATTTTAGCAAACCAATCAAAGCTGTGATACTACGACATTCTGCTATCGAAGAAACTCTATTCCAATGGCATGCTCAATATCATTCAACCGTAACGTCTGTGATCTGGATCATTGAATACAGGATAAATAATATTTTAAGCTACCATGAACTACAGATATAAATGCCACGTATTTTTATTGGCGATCATCCAATGTCTTACTAGTCTTAATACTTATTTCTAGTTACTAGTATATAATCTGATTCTTTAATACCGTGTAAACAAGATTTTATACTGCCGTAAACTATAATATATAAGTGCTATATATTTTTACTGGCGACAGTTCAATGTCCTCCTAATTCTCCTAGTCCTAACCTAGTTCTACTTATGTAAATGAATTTGTAGTCCGTATCTAAGCACCGGTAATATTATTTCTATTATGGCTGATAGTTAAGCTTCCTTACAATGAAAATTTTTATTCATGCAATGCAGAAATCGAGCAAATATAAAATATTGTGATGAATGATTCTAAGAATAGGTATTCAATAATAGTACTCCAGGATGTGCAATACGTTAATTGCTAAAATAGACGATATGATCTGCTTAGCTATACTGCAAACAAAATCTACTTACCCTCCACTAAAGCGTATAATTAATGAGCAAACATAATACCCTACAGGAATTGTCAGGAAAGCACTAAAGACTCTTATACAATAAAACATTGTAATAAAGTCTTGAGCGCTACGTAGATTTTCTTCTATGCAATTCATATATAGAAGGCTATCATTTTGGAAGTCTTTTGGCCCGCAACAGCTATATTTTTCGTCTAGCAAAGAATGACTTAGGCTGTAAGAAAAATTTCTTCGACACAAGGTTTCGCAACCTTGGCTGCTAGAACATTCTCCAATTCGTATTAAACTTTCTAGCACATCAAAGATGACTACTTCTCGACAGTATGGCTCAATTTCTTCAATACATCTTGGCCAAGGCTGTTCTATAGTTACATTTAAATAATCGTGAAATAGCCCAGGAATATAGAAGCAGCTTATAACATAATTCATCGGCATAGCAAATAAAGATCTGCCATAATGGGGTTTCACCCAAGCATATTTATTATCACCATGGAAGAAACTATAAATTGGCTGCTTAGTACTATTAAGAAAGTTGAAATACAGAACTCTGACAGTATCTACGCTAACTTTAGCCTTAAACGTCTTTCTGGTTGCCTCTTCGTCTTCTATACTTAGACGGCATTGACTTAAGCATTTTCTTGCGTCTTTTGTTGGATCATGTAAGGGTGTCTCATTAAGGCAATCAACTTGCATCAATATCCACATCCACTGTAGAACTATTAGGGAGATAAAAGTCTTACTTCCCATGGTATATCTTTATTACTGGATCCTAATTCAGCTATTTTACGTTACTTGGCTGCTTGATAGGATGGCTGTTAAATGGAAAGCAAACAGTAATGAGATTTTTAGAAAAGCCTTGTTGCATTTCTATTGAAATATAACTCGGAGCGAGGTATGATTCCGTGGCAATCCCAACCATTACAACGTGTAATATTATTTTTGATGCTACTTATGTCTTACAATCTACTTCAAATAATTAAAATGGATCCACATGTAGTGAAAACTTCAAGGTAAAATAATAAAACAAATGAAGTCATTGACTATTTTATGTTGATAAACATAACAGTTAAATCGAAAAAATAGCTGACCTTATAATTTGACTAAAATTTACATATTATATATAGTGATCTATCACCCGATATTTGATAATAAAGACTCAATGCCGTAGTTACCGTATACTAAAACCGATGTTACTACAAAGTTGCAATGATGATATATTAAAGCTGAAAAGGAGCAATAACATCTAGCGCATGTTGCCGATCGTAATGAGCAATTACTTCAACTCTACAAGGTAGTTGCCTGCATCTACATGCAGTAGTGCATCAGGATTACCTACCAACATTTCTGCTGTAAATCACTCTGATAACCAAGTCACAATTTCATATCTTGCTTCAAATCATCTATGCCAGAACTATTTTAAAGTTAGAGATTGATTTTATTTAGCACTGCAGCTACTTTGCCTTTTAAGAATGATTTTCGTGTAGAATAAGATATAGAATTGATTCGAATTCTTTATGTAAGGTGCTCCAGAAGATCGATTAAAACTGTTTCTGAAGGAGTAGTTCAAAATGAACAATCAAAATACTTCATTATTCTTGGAAATGGTGATGAGCAGTAAGTCATATCTAAATAATGCAAATTTTACTTATTTTTATTAACGTAAGCATGCATGCTTGGAATAGCTGCACCCAAGTCACAGAATCTTAGCTGTTTTACAAGCTTAAGGAATCTCGAGAAATGATGCACTAGGAGAAATCAAGAAGTCTCTCTTGTATAACAGTATTTAAACTACTTATTATACTAGACAGCAGCCTATAAAAAAGGTGCCAGTATCTAGCGTAATAATGCGCTGGGAGTGTTCTACAATTTTCTTATGTATAAAAATATTTGTACTACTCTTCATGTAGACGACAGCCAGTTAAGCGATACGCTGACCTTGCGTAATGACGTATTAGGATTTGTTGAGAAGTCTCCTATGTGCAAAAATATTTACACTTAATTTTATAGTAGAAAGCACTCGGGAGAATGCATGTATCTTGACAATCTTTGTTCATTACAAGTATGTCATCGTGCCAAGATGGTAAATTGATAAAACCATCAACTCTCTTCTATTAGAAAATACAACTTTAATGATATTGTCATACACAGCTTTGCACGTTGCTCTATAGCGAACAGGTAGATATCCAAGATCACGGATTACTGTGAGATTGGTAATGTTACTATTAGTCGGAATAGTGTTGCACTTTACTTAATAGCAATCTGATAACTGGTAGATAGTAGGATAGGGATTATTTGAAAGTGTCACTTTCACACCGAATGCAGCTATTTTTATGCAGTTTATTAAAGGAGAAATTGCTTACATTTCTAAAACTAGCAAGCCCTCAATCTGCTATTAATAATAATAACTGGGTATATCAAGTAGTATAACACTCGAAGATGGCCAATAGCAAAGCATCAGAGTTCGACATGAAAATGGGCGTATATAAAAGCTACTATCATACTTTCCTTTACTTATTGTGTGGATAGAGTACAGCACGTTAGCAGCATAGTAGTTTAGCAGTTAATTATACGCCTGTTCTACTGTATCTTAGTAGCTAATTTATTATAACTTAAGTTATTTGCTATAATAAATTGATCACGTATGGTTATTCACACATACTCGCGTGTGAGGTGTTAAAATGGTAATAGATTTATTTTTTCATTTATCAGGATCTAGCTTATTGGTTTGCTTTTTCCCCTATGACTCTTTCTATCACTTGTTACAAAACACTCCATCTCTTAGAATTCGTCCTTCATGCTTGTTTGTGTTTTAAACTAGCCTGCAGCAATAAAGGACTGAAAAAGATGGACTCTCTGGGCACTAGCTATCAATCAGTCATGGAGTTAATGCTTTAAATGCATATGTTGTACACAAAATGAGCATAAGCTTGTAGTCTCTAATTGAGGGCTATATTTTACTGTGCTAGGCGAAGTGAAGACAGCCTAAGACTAGTCAAATCGCGAAAAGCTCACAAGATTTATCCTTCAATGATTTGTTTTATTCTCCTAAGCGTTGAACTGTCTGCGGATATCATATTAGTTACAATTGTCTAACCTCTGAACCATCTTGACATGGAGTAAGATAAATTTATATCGATAATTTACAAGGAAAAATGTAAGAATTTCAGATTTTTGCTATATTTTACACGATATGAATACAATCATACGGTAATCCCCATTACAATGACTGAACGCAATTCACTAATGCAAGTATTGCAATTTTCAAAGCTAGGGATCTAGATCAACATCGTTTTACAATCGTTATTATAATCTTTACAAAAGATTGGCAACAGCAGTTTGAGACGTTCACTGCTCAGACATTAAAATCAATAATACTGTATTGATCATATAATAACTTTCCTCCGTCATTACTATGGATAAACTAACTAATTCTAATGGTCATGAATTAGATTAAAGACATGATGCATACGCGTCGACTACCTTCAATTTTTATACGGAGTTCGCCATGCCAAATTAAACTATTTGAATAATCTAAATAGGCTATATTACGTATTTGACATGATTATCTCTCCTTGTAATTCGTAAATTACAAATAATATTATTTATTATCCAAGACACCTAGATCAAAGATTCCTGTCATAAGTACCACCCTTATAAGAGAATTAAGGTGTCGAATAGAATTATGTCTTGATTCTATCATGCTAACTGTAAGCGTTACATACAGTAGCCTAATACTAGGAATTTTTATATATAACAATATTGAAATTTTTAATGCGAAATAGAGACAGCTCTAAGAAGTTCGGATGAAATTCGTTTGTAAACAAAAACAATCACTTGAAAATGTAATTACTACCAAAAGGTATTTCTGATGACATTTCCTAAACTATGAAATATTAGTTATAGAATAAAAGCGTTTTTATTCCTTTCTCAATTATGATGAATCAAATTGATTTATATAGCAGCGTCCATCATAGCAGTTTTATAAAATGTGCTATTAACTTTCATTAATAGTTAGTAACATTTTATTCAATCGATCGGTAAATTCAAAATATGAATCGATGAAAGAACTACTAAATTCTTCTTGCCAATTCTGCTATGATTATGCTGTATGGTACTTTTCTAGAAATATTCTTGTATACAATTATCAATTTATTCGAGCAAAAATGCTACAACTAGCCATAATAAAATTTTAATGACCAACAGAATCAAGCTTATCCTTATAATATATCACTTCTTAAAATTAATTTATGAAGCTGTCCAAGTTTCTAACCGATCATATCAATACCGTCAATGGGAAAGTGATCGGTAATTTAGCGCACTTACAAACAAAATTGGCTACATCGATTTTACAAATTGATTCAATAATGAGGAGTTGTAATCCTTATTTTAACTAATCACACAATTTATAGTCTACGAGACACCCATATACTCTATTTTCTCCAGTTTTGAATTACCATCTAACGTATTTGTGAAAGGTCCTTTTTTTCTGAGCGTGCCTTACGTTGCTTATGATTTTCTGATGATTTAGGAAACAAACTTGACGCTAACCCAACAAAGTTAAGATCCATCAATTTATTTAAGAAGCGATGTATTAGTCTTCTAGCGTTAGCATGCTTGGAGATTTTAAGAACGATAATATAGATGACTAAATTTATCAAACTACTATAATTATAACTTCAACACTTCAAATGATCTAATTATACAGTATATGTATGACAATATCTTCAGTTATGTTTTACTTTTCGAATTATTTTACATTCGTTAAATATACTTACAAAAGTGTACTCAATATTCAAGCTTAATTAGTCTTCCACTATCCTAAGACCAATAGTGATTGAAATTATTATCAGATTCAGAAGATGATTATTGATAACCTTTAATGCGGATAGATACTGGATCTCCAACAAAAATTGACCTTGGATAATTTGATATCGATTGATGTATAAGTAAAAATGAGAGAATGAACTAGCGGATATGAATAAGCCATATACTGAGAGGCTCTTAACCAATCATGAAATACCTTCGGGTGATATTTAAATTGAATAGAAGGCGAAAGCAAAATGAGAGCAAAACACATAAATAATGGCATCCACATTATGAGATAGAGACATATTAATGTAACGAAGGTTAGCGCAAGTTTATGATTACGTCTAACATGAGAAGCATCAGCAGTGTGAAAAATTTGAGCAGCAAACTGCTTTCTTAAAATACGAATTTTTCGAAAGATATAAATGTAACAGCAGATCATAATAAAACAAGGTAGAATAAAAAATAAGCATAACGTACTTATATAGTAGATAGCTTCTTGTTGTGAATTTTCAGGATCCCAAGCTATACAAAGTTCAGATTGCAACCTTCGATGAGTAAAGATAGGGGCGATAGAAACGGTGATCGAGATAAGCCATATGATAGCAAGACTCCATTTGGTACGATAGAGCGTGGATGGATTACGAAAATAATGTCTAGCGTAATATATAGTTAAGAATCGATCAATACTAGCGGCCATTAAATGTAAATTAATGGCGATAATCATAATAGTGGCAAAGATGGATGTTAATGAGCAATACAGCCAATTATTACGATAATGTGGACTGGCTAAACGTGGAAAGATATAGAGAGCAGCAAACAGGATATTACCACAACATAAACTTCCCATTATAAGATAAATACTTTGATTAAATAGATTACGTCGATAATATATTGCTATGATAACCCCAATATTAATGATTATGGTGATCAAACCAATA